TCATGTCAGTTGTGGAAGCTGCTTTTTAGTTTAAATTTCCTTTAGAGGTGTAATCAACTACTTAGGAAGCACAAAGGACTAGAAAAGAGCACAGCAATCTGAGTCTCATTCCTGGGTTTCATAGCCGAGCACAACTTGACACCCAATAGGTGCTTAACAAAAATTTGTCTAAGATATTATGACTACAAAGCACTCCAGAGTTAATATTGGTTCAGGGGAGACATTGCCACCTAGTGAAAAATCAGCCTCATTACCTAGAATTATCAAATCATGCTGAGAACTTCCCAAATTAGACTTGACTCCACTTAACACACTACATGCATATTTATTATGTGTCAGTATTCAGGGTAGGTACTAGCAGGAAAAAGACGAACAAGCTTCCATCTTTGCTTCTTACAAAGTACAGAAAATACAAAGAAACTTCATACTCCACAGAGAAACAGAAAAAACTGTACCATAGAAAAAACAAGGTTTGATTATTAGACATTTAAAACCAGTATTACAAGAAATTTGCTGAAAAGGAAATTTAGTGTAGCAAGTAAGTGCATGGACTCCAGGACCGAACTGCATCGATTTAAAGCTGTGGCTCCAATAAAGCGAGGATAATAGCCCCTATGTCATAAGACTACTGCAGAATTAAATCTACGTAAAATGCTTAAAACAGTGCTGGGAACACAAAAAGTGCTATATAAGTATTAACTATAATTATTATTAAATTTAAAACAATATCCTAGAGACTGGGGTGAATAAATATTGATTAATAACAAAACATTAACTGCTAAAGTCCAGCTTCATAAATTTAATTCAGTAGAAGCCGTTTCTCTGAGTAGTACTCTGATATTATGGGAATCCTAAAAGTACATTATTTGTGGTACTCTGTGACTAAATTTTGTATTGCTGGATGATTAACCCTTTCAACATCAGGCAAACAGAACTGTCTTCTGAAAGTAAAAATCATATTTCTTACCAAAAAAAGCAAAAAGTCAGTAGAATGAAAGACCCAAAAGACCACAGCCTGAACATATGCTTAACAGGGAAAGATGCTTGCTAACTCTTCACAGATTTTGCTAGAACTGAAAGATGGATGATACATTTAGCTACCACTGTGGTCTCATTCACAACTTATTTAGCTATTTAAAAAAATAAGCTTGCTCCATTTTCCTTGAAAATCATCAGAAGCTCTGATAAACACCACTTAAACATCTCTTAACTCTTTTGTGTTTTTTGAATTTTATACTATTAAAGTATTTATGTAAAGCCATATGTAAACTTTATTTCCAAACAAAAAATTATGAGCAAAATATTTCTGTATTAAAAAATAAAATACAAGTCAAACTCTAATAGGTTAGTAATAAATATTACACTTTTCTTATGGAACTATACCATTCACAAGGACTCTGCTAAATCTTGGATGGTTAAGATTACTTAACTTCTTCCTAAGCTTCCTCTTTTTAAAAATAGCAATGAGTTGGGAAAAATGTGTTGAAACATTTTGACTTTTAATTTGTTTGTAAAGGTGTGTTTGCATATCAAAAATTGTGTTTGTGACAGATTGCACAAATAATTTTAATTTAATGTGCCTATTATTTGAATATTTTAATTTCTAAAATGCTCATGGAAATCCTTCCTCTTGTACATTAAGATAGTGTGGAAATAACATTACGTTTTTAATTTTATGCGTTTATATTCTAACAAATTGACCTGGATGGAAGCCTACTTTAATAAAAGGCTGACCAACAGCGTAAAAGAGAGGAGAAATAAACTCTTCAACTCCTTTCCATATAGATATGCTTATCAGTATATTAAAACAGAAATTCTTATAGTCAAGTGTATACTGGTTGGATAAGCAGAACAATCCATTTTATCTTTTGTTTCAATATTGTGCTTATCAATTTACCTAGCACTTTCACAGTCATTGTTGCATAGAATCTTCACAAATACCCATCTCAGGTAGAACAGGTACTAGTAGTATAGTACCTTTTAACAGAATTCGGCTGTGAACCTGTCTAGACCTGGACTTTTTTTGGTTGGCAGGCTGTAATTGCTGCCTCTTTCAGCCCTTGTTATTGGTCTATTCAGGGTTTCAACTTCTTCCTGGTTTAGTTTTGGTAGGGTGCCAGTGTCCATGAATTTAGCCATTTCTTCCAGGTTTACTGGTTTATGTGCATAGAGTTGTTTGTAGTAATTTCTGATGGTAGTTTGTATTTCTGTGGGATCAGTGGTGATATCCCCTTTATCATTTTTTATTGCATCTATTTGATTCTTCTCTGTTTTCTTTTTTACTAATCTGGCTAGTGGTCTATTTTGTTGATATTTCTGAAAAATCAGCTCCTGGATTTATTGATTTTTTGAAGGGTTTTTTGTGTCTCTATCTCCTTCCTTTCTGCTCTGATCTTAGTTATTTCTCGTCTTCTGCTAGCTTTTGAGTTTGTTTATTTATTTATTTATTTATTTATCTTGCTCCTCTAGCTCTTTCAATTTTGATGATAGGGTGTCAATTTTAGAACTTTCCTCGTTTCTCATGTGGGCATTTATTGCTATAAATTTCCCTCTAGACATTGCTTTAAATGTGTCCCAGAGATTCTGGTAAGTTGTGTCCTCATTCTCGTTGGTTTCGAAGAATATCTTTATTTCTGCCTTCATTTCATTGCTTATCCAGTCAACATTCAAGAGCCAGTTGTTCAGTTTCCATGAAGTTGTGTGGTTTTGAGTTAGTTTCTTAATCCTGTGATCTAATTTGATTGCACTGTGGTCCGAGAGACTGTTTGTTATGATTTCCGTTCTTTTGCATTTGCTGAGGAGTGATTTACTTCCAATTATGTGGTCAATTTTAGAGTAAGTGCTATGTGGTGCTCAGAAGAATGTATATTCTGTGGCTCTGGGGTGGAGAGTTCTGTAGATGTCCATTAGGTCTGCTTGATCCAGTTCTGCGTTCAAGTCCTGTATATCCTTGCTGATTTTCTGTCTTGTTGATCTGTCTAATGTTGACAGTGGAGTGCTAAAGTCTCCCACTATTATTGTGTGGGAGTCTAAGTCTCTTTGTAGGTCATTAAGAACTTGCTTTATGTATGTGGGTGCTCCTGTATTGGGTGCATATATATTTAGGAAATTTAGCTCTTCTTGTATTGATCCTTTCACCATTATGTAGTATCCTTCTTTGTCTCTTCTGATCTTTGTTGGTTTAAAGTAGATTTTATCAGAGACTAAAATTGCAACTTCTGCTTTTTTTTTTGCTCTCCACTTGCTTTGTAGATCTTCTTCATCCCTTTATTTTGAGTCTATGTGGGTCTTTGTGTGTAAGATGGGTCTCCTGAATACAGTGCATTGACGGGTTTTGACTTTTTACACAGTCAAAAAAGTCTGTGTCTCTTGATTGGGGCATTTAGGTCATTTATGTTTAACGTTAATATTGTTATGTGTGAATTTGATCCTGCCATTTTGTTACTGGTTGTTTGTTTTGCCTGTTGGTCAACACAGTTTCCTCATTGCATCATTGGTCTTCACCATTTGGTTAATTTTTGCAGTGGCTGGTACTGGATGTTTTTTTGTGTGTGTGTGTTTAGCGTTTCCTTCAGGAGCTCTTGTAGGGCAGGTCAAGAAAATGAAGCTTCAGGAAGGCAAGAAGCTTGTGCAAGGTCACTAGAATAACAGAATGAAGCCTAAATCCCATTTTTTGGTCTCCTAAAATGCTTAGCTCTTTCTACTACTATGCCTCTAGAATGGACTTCTATGCTTATTGCCTAAAAACCAAATTGGCAAACCTAACTATCCTGGGCTAATCTGATGATAAAATCCTCTGTCAGTGGCAAAAAAATAAATTGCTTGAAGGAAAAAGACAAGAGTGGAACTTTGATGTGTATGTGTAGTGAAAACTTCAATGGCATGAAAAGCAAATTAGAAACTGAATAAAGACGATTATAAAACCTCTTAAGAGTCTGAGGAAATAATTTGCTGCCTACTTCCTGCATAACAGTTCCAAATATAAAGTACTTCAGTATAACTCTTCATTTATGTGAAGATTTAGAGTGGGTACAGAGACAGAACTGTTTCAGGATACATGTTGAAACTAGACACCAGATTTGGACATTCAATAATGTGAGGAATCCATCCATTTTTTCCTATAATCAGGCAGTGTTTATTTTTGCTAATATCTGCTTGTAATAGTAAATGCTACTGTGTTGTTTGACAATTCTACCATTAGTAATAGTTTATATAATTCCGAGTATATGTTGCAGAAATTATTTCTTCTCTATAAAGTTCTTTAAAATAAGATTAAATCTTGATTTTACACATTATTTTCTAACATAATTCACCCAGAAGGCATAATATAATCCATACTATAATCAATAACTTCAGATTTATAACTTAATTGCCTAAGAATTGCAATATTGAGAATGACAGCACTAATAGTATAATGCAGAAGAGTGGCATCCTAATTTCAGGAAAGAAATTAAAGAAATATGTGAAAACCAGCATAAATCCAAAGAATTCTTAGAATATCATATTGTCCCAGAAAAATAATGTATCCAAAGTTTTTACTTCCTTATCATTCCCAGGGATGATAGACTAGTGTAGTTGCAGAGCTTGAAAGACATTCGATTTCTCATTCCAGGTGATGTTTTCACTGACATGTGATTTTCCCCCTACTTTTTATGTTAAGAAACTCTTAAAACTACAACTTATTAAAAAGATATGCTTTAGTAAGAACATAGGATAAAATATTAACTCACTAGTCAACTGAAAACATTAAAGATCTGTATTTCCTAAGGGTTATTTACCTTTTAAATTTAGTTAACATATTCCCAAATAATTTTTAGGTAAATTCTATTTATTTAAATTGATTCGCAAAGAAACTGGTGGCTGGCTTTCTGTGATTCCAACATAAGTGCACAATTGTTATGTGTACTTTTGTCAACATTTAAATTCCAGGCTGATTCTTGGTTTAGTCTAAATGTAAAGGTTGCTCTAAAAATTCTTTACTTATCAAGTGGTAGACTTACCATGGAAATCATAAATATACAGAAGAATTGGCTCATTTTGCCCAAATGCACAGAATGCAACCATATTTTCAAATGGATGATAAGAAATGTCTCGAATAGGTGACTTGAATGGCAGGTCAGAATACATGGCTACTTGTTCCCCTAAATAAAAAGAGATTCAAAATGTATATCAGATATGTCTTGTTAAAAGATTATTCTGCCATTTATTAGAAAGTATTTATAGTAATGATGCTCATATTTATGTGAAAATCTCAAATATTTATAAATGTTTGAGTTAACACTCTATTAAATTATCTTTATTTTGCATTCCATTGACCCTCCTCTTTCTACTTTCTACCTCTTCCATGAGGTTTTCAAGGCACAAAATATAGACAAAGGGCATAGAAGGAAGTAGAGAGGTATGACTCTGAGATCGGACAGAGCTAGGCAAACCCCAAATAACAGAGAACTCTAGGAAGAACTAAGGGAGAAATTACAGGACTTTAAAACTAGAGAAACTCTAGTTGGGTAAGCTTTGGTGAAGGATTAACTTTTCCATTTTTTTTTTTTCTAGAGGCTGTTTGAGGTACCCATTTGCTTGAAAGATACCTATGATTATGGCCTAAAAGATGGCTAAAGCAGAGGTCTGTGGAACCCCCCAAAATCAGTCAGGAGTCAAAAAGCAAAGAATCTAGATTCATTTATTGTAGGTGAGAGAGACTTAATGCTACTGGATTGATGCAAAAGCATCAAAACATGGTACAGGAAACAAATAAAACACACAAAAACTAAGTTAGCTGATTAGTCTAAATGCCTAACAGAAAGAATAAGAAAATAAACAAGGAAAAATCAATACGGTTCATTAAAGAAATTTTAAAGTAAATTTTATAAAATTATCTCAATTTCTTATTAAAAACATTCATGTAGCTTTAGCTTTTCTTTTGAAAAGCAAAGATGAGGCACAAGTGAGCTTCCCAATGTAATTGTTCATTAAAAAAAACTGAATTGCAATAATTCGGGTAACTTGCTATTTAAGTTTCAGACATCAAAACTTTCACAGGTATGTTTCTGTTACTAATGAAAATATATTATAGATGTTTAACAATTTGTCTACCTAGTCATATTCCAAATTCAGCTTGTAACGTTTTATGCTTTGCATTATGATCTTCATTAAATACTTTTCTAAGATCAGCACTCTCATCATAGGCCATGAAAGAACAAACCTTGAATTATAATGTGAAATTCTAAATTCATAAAGATATTAAGGCAATAAAGAACAGAATTTAATACACGTTTAGGCTGTAGCTGAGTTCCTTTAATGGCTTTCTAATCTTAAAAAACATAATTAAAAATCTAAAATCAGAATTTCCTTGAAAATTATTCCACAAAATGGTAGAATTTTCATACTTCTTCAAACCCCTGTTCCTCCTCAAATATTTTTAAAGTTCAATAAATATTCACCTGTTTCTGGGTTCCAAACACACACTATACCATCCTCACTTCCAGCAAACAGGAAAGTCCCACATGGAGTCAAAGTACTATGAATCTTCTCCCGATAATTTGCTGCTCCTACAAATTTCCTTGCTACTAATCTATAAGCAAAAAAGATTTTACAAATTTAACTGTCTTAACCATGTAAATGAATGGTGGTAGAAAGTTTTTTCTCTTAAATACTTTAATTTCTATTCAACAAACATTTTTTGAGAATGTGTCATATGGGAGACATTCTATAATATAATGGATACAGAATAAAGAAGAGCTAGTCCCTGGAACCAGGGAGTTTATCATTTAGCAGGAGAGAAGAAACATGTCATTGTAAAATAGAAGGTGGGCGTACAAAGTACTAGAAAAGAAAAACAGAAGAGTTCTTTTCAAACTTGGATAAGAGAAATTAATTCTAACTATGGAGAAAGAGAGACTACTTTATGGAAGTAGTATTTGAGCTGGTTACTAAAAACTGGATAGAATTTTTATACTCGCTGGGTGCAGGGGCTGATGCCTCTAATCCCAGCACTTTGGGAGGCTGAAGTGGGCGGATCACGAGGTCAGGAGATCGAGACCATCCTGGCTAACATGGTGAAACCTCGTTTCTAAAAATACAAAAAATTAGCTGGGTGTGGTAGTACACACCTGTAGTCCCAGCTACTCCAGAGGCTGAGGCAGGAGTTATCACTTGAACCCGACAGGTGGAGGTTGCAGTAAGCTGAGATTGTGCCACTGCACTCCAGCCTGGGTGACAGAGCAAGACTCTGTCTCAAAAAAAAAAAAAATAATAATAATAATTTTTATACTCATAGTTTCTTCCACCTGATGAATTTTTAAAACAATAAAAGGAATATTTGATCTCTGAAAAAATTAGATAAAACATATTATTAAATCATCTACTAAATATGGTACAAAGCCTTCCATATTTTTTCACTCATGAAATAATAGTTACCACCATTTCAGCACATACTTTGTGCCAGGTAGGTACTATTATCGTCCCTGATTTACAGAGAGAATATTAGACACACTGCTCTATAATCTGCTGTTTTCACTCAAAAATAAGTCATAACGGACCTTCGTGTCAGAAAATATAGATTATACATAAACATTTTAATGGGTACATTAAATCTATTGTTGGATGACATTAGAATGTTTCCAGCTTTCCCCTACCATGAACACACTTTCTATAAATAATCTTGTGTGTACATACATATTACAACATTTTTACTGTTTTATAATTATTTTATTTAACATAAATTCCCAGATCTGGAGTTACTGGGTCTAACTTTTCTAGGGTCCTTGCTATGTGCTTTACTGTTTTAAATACTTTTTATGTATTAAGTTGCTTATTCCCAACAAAACCCTTATGTGTATGGCGTATTATTTCTCTCATTTGAGAGATAAGAAAAGAGGCACATGGAGAGATTGATCAGCTAGCAAAGGGGTAGAGAAGGCAGTATTTAACTCTAAGTAGTGTCTTGCAGAGCCCAAGCATGATATTAAGCTGTATACTATACTGCTTAAAATTCTCTCTCAGTATTCCTTGCCAAGAACCTATGCTCATACAGATTAACTCACTCTGCTTTAAAAGCCTATTATTTCACTTCTGAACTTTGTTTTCTATTCTACTAAAATATTTTATCTTGTCAAAATTCTACCCATCCTTCAAGACTGAGCTTAAATGGCAGCCTCTCAATACAGCCTTTTAACAGAAGACTATATTATAGTTGTCAGCTTTTTTGCTGCTATGAAAAATATAGTCCTTTTATTACAAATTTATATTCATTAAAATACTTGCTAGCTGCCAGGCACGGCATGGATGCTACATACAGGAAAAAAAAAAAAAAAAAGTAGCTTCCAGTCCTAAAAGGTCTCACATTTTAGCTTAATTAAATGTTTTTTGGTTTTATTTTGAAGGTACACAACTAGATTATAAACAAATGGTTTAATTTTGTTTATTCTCCCACAGTATCCATGACAGTTCCTTGAAGTGTTTTACATAAATATTGAAGGGTATAAGAGCTAACCCTAAAAAGATATAGAACTAAACTAAAATAAATTACATTTGCCTTTCTAAATACTAGAAAGAAATTTAATAAAATAGCTTTCTCTCATTTATTTTACAGAAACTCAACACCACAGCAAAAGTGTACTAGAAGTCCATGATGATTTCCCAGCATTGCTTCTGCCTTTTACAGTAAGGATATTTCCCTACCTTCACCATTATTTGGAAATAAAGAAAAAAACACAGACGTATAAATCAAAAACCTCTCCTTCAGTTGTATTATATTATACTAACACCATAACAGTATCATAGTGATATCAGTATCAGTCAGTAACATTGTAGAAGACAGAAGCTTCTTTTGTTTTTTTTTAATTGTGAAAACAAAAGCAACTAACTACATTTCAGCCTCAGAACTATTCACATTTTGGGCTGGATAGCTGTTTTAGGGAACCTGTCCTATGGTCTGTAGGGTGCTTAGCAGTATTTTTGATCTCTACTCATTAGATACTAAAGAAACACTAAAAAAAAAAAAATCTCCAGATACTGCCAGATGTTCTCCGGTGAGGGTGAGTGTGGGGACACTGCCTAGTTGAGAACCACTATCACATTTTATAAATATAATTTAATTCATTACTAATTCTGTGAGTACTTATCCTGTCAATACTGAAATATACTTACATCCGGAGATCCATAATTCTCAAAGTACTGTCTTTGGTATGGATTAACAAACGTTTTCCATTGGGATGAACCTCCAAATAACTAACTGGAACCCCCTTAAACTCAGTTTCTTTAATTTCCTAAAATGATAAAAAAAATACTACTAATGAAAAATTTGTTTAATGTTAAGCTTTTTTTTCAGGTACAAAATTAATTTTAAAATATCATTTCCAATTCTGCTGTATAGGTTGCTCTATAATTGTTAGCAAAAGGATTCTGAGTAACTTCAGTTTAGGTTGAAAATAAAGCTTATGAACTGTATTTCTGTTATGTAATGCCACATTTAATTAGTATGTGTTTTTGTACTATGTTCACTTTCCCCAAATTTAGTCAGTCCCAAACAAGCAGCACTTCCAACAAACTCATCTTCTAATATTAATTTTTTTGTTTAAAATCACATAAGGACGCTTCCAATTTTTATAAATCCAAAACCACATGTAGAATTATTTTTCAAGTTTCTATTCTTATTTAGATAAGAATTTCTAAAAACAGAAGGACTGTTTTTTAAACAGATCTGACAGACTCGACAGATTTAACTGCAGTTCCTGGAAACTACTTTTCACTTAGGGTATCTTTTTTCAACTACTGTCCTATTATGAAAAACTGAAGAACAAAGGTATAACATGTTAGCCAGAAACTGAATCAATTTATATAAAACAAATTCAAGTTTAATGATTTATTTGTATTTTTAAGTAAAGAGTAAAAAATGTACACGAACAAAATTGTTTAACATACAAGCTATCTTAAAAACACTCCAGCCCCAAAAGGAAAGAACTTATTCCTTTGTTTCTATTTAGAACATTTCAAATGAAACAATTATTGTGATTAAATGACAGACCTCCATAATAATTGCCTAATTCTGAAAGACACCAGTGTTTATAAAATACCGAGAATACTGTTTTTAGAGATATTATTGGACCAAGGAAAAAGGATATGCATAACAGAAAACACAAATTATTACTTATCAATGATAATATAACACACATCTCATTTTAGCATAAATGTCACCCAATGAATTATTGAATGCCATAGTGCAAATGGGGTATAAAAAAGTGAAAGCAACACCTGGCCAAAATTTTAAAAATCTTCACTAAGTTGTTAATACTATCAAGCAGCCATCAGAAGGGTGTGCTAATTAATTATTGATAATTGACTATGAAAAACTGTTAATTTTTTGAAATGAGAGAACAGAATGTCCTGACATCCTATCTTAAAGTCATATAACTGGATTTTTTCCAACTTCCTTAAATCCCAAAATATGAAATATTATTTTATACCTTATCTATAGTCCAGTGGTGCACTGAATGTTCCAAATCATTAATCTTGACATAGGTATTCCAAACAACAATCACCCCTGTGCAGTCTCCTGAATACATATGATGACCTATTTAGAAAAATAAGATTACTCACTTAAGAACGTCACACAGAGTTAGAAACAAATAATAGGAAATTGGGGGAAACCATACCCCAGTAAAACAGTCAAAGAATTGAAGGGCTGTTAAAAGGTATCCAAAAAGCAAAATGCAACTCACAAACAAATCCCAATTACCTTTAAATGAATTCTTTTCTCTTTTAAATTATTTTTGATGACTTACTTCCCTTGTCACTTACCTGAATTTAACTACACAAAGAAATGAGCTTCTCAATACATGTGTATATGGCTCATACTCCAAAGCCAAATAATTTGAACCATCCAACATGTAACATTATTTCTCATCTTTATTAACCTGTAAATCTACTTTGTATTCCCAGAAAAATACCTATATTCTAATATATAGTGTTAGTATAATTTCTGAGACCCAGTAGAAACTCATCAAATGATCAGGGAATGAATAAAATAATAACAGGTATTCCAGTTCAACATCAATTCTTTGGAGTCAAATCATCTTAAAGTTGACAGACTTCAGAGACCATCAAGTTCAACTTCAAACCCACTCAGGAATATCTCAAACACCACCACTAACAGATGGCTGTTCAGCAACTGTAAATTCAGCATTTTATAAAACAGCTATTCAACTGGTGAACTGCTTCCTGTATTATAATATTCTTTGTATGGACCAATTTCCTTTTTTTTTTTTTGCACATTTGGATACCTTATGGCCAAATAGTTGAAGAAAGTCTTTATCTCTCCCTTATAATCTGTACTTCTATTATGACATAGTTAATTTTCAGATACCTTTCTATTCAGTCTTTCCTGAATATGTTCCAAATTTATTAACATCTCAATAGCTGAATTGGGTAAATCAGCAGTATTATATCCTTTTGATCTGGATCCTGCACCAATTAATTATAGTGATAGCCTATATGACTAGTCACTGGGATTATGAAAAAAGTGAGTATTTAATAGATATGATTAATTTATTCTTTCAGATAATAAAATGATTTGTATTTTACATCTTTAAAACAAACTATATTATTCTTTTTTTTTTTTTTTTGAGATGAAGTCTCGCTGTGTGCCCCAGGCTGGCGTGCAGTGGCATGATCTCAGCTCACTGCAACCTCTGCCTCCTGGATTCAAGTGACCTCCTGCCTCAGCCTTCTGAGTAGCTGGGACTACAGGTACATACAACCACACCTGGATAATTTTTTGTATTTTTAGTAGTGATGGGGTTTCACCATGTTAGCCAGGATGGTCTCGATCTTCTGACCTCATGATCCACCTGCCTTGGCCTTCCAAACTGCTGAGATAACAGGTGTGAGCCACCATGCCCTGCCACTATGTTATTCTTATATAAAGATAAAACTTTAAATAATTACAAATTTCCCTTCTATATGTTTGTAAATTTTAAGGTTCTTAAAAAAAAAAAAAAAAAAAAACTAAGAATGATAATCACCAGTTCAAAGAAATATATTTATGAAATTTGGCACATAACTGGTTGTTGTGGCAAAGATTAATTGAATCTAAATATTTAAGAATTTAATAATTTAAAAATTACAAACAGAACTCCTTCAGTGTCAAATCAATCACATGACTGGCAAAACAAGCATAAGCCTAAATAATATCAGTACATAACCCTTGCAAGCTTAAATAACTATTATTCTGGTAAAAAAATTATTCACATAGCTAGTCTTCATTCATAGTCTCTGACATACCTTCAGTATCAAAACAAAGTGAGTTGATAAAACTTTTGTGAACATCAAACTGTCGGACCAATATGGCAGAATCCTCTCTCATCTCAACTTTCCATATCCGTATCATGGAATCATAGCATCCTGTAACTACTAGCTCTGTTACAGCTGGATGGAATTTAGCCGTGTAAACAAAAGAAGGATGAGGTAAAACTTTGAAAGTATTTGTATTGTTTATTTCATTTTTCCATATCCTGGAAAAGGATAAGAAGTTACATAATGTTTCTGAAAAGTAGAAGTTTCTTTTAACAGTTTTTCTAAGAACCAACACAGCCAATGAACCTTAAGGAAGCAAGTGAAAACAACCAACGGTAAACCAAGTTTTAAAACAATAAAAAATATAATGATGATCTCATATTTGATGACTGGAATTTTCACATTTTGAGAAAGTTATTTGTTATGGTTATTATCCAGCATATTATACCCGCTAATTGTAATCTATACTGTAAAATTAATAACTGTTTTTTTAAACCTATTTTACCATTGATTAAACATACATTGAACAGTTAGTAAAATATTGCATTTAGTTCAATATACACAAAAAATATATAAGAAGAAACTTTAATCATTTCCCATTTAGGTTATGTATACCACTTTTACGAAATGTTTATTCATGAGGTTTAGAGAATAGCATAGTCTATTAACTTTTATATTTGTAATTTCAAAGCCTAGATAGTAAAAATGAAGATCTCAAAGATTTAAAAGTGATACTGAAATTGTATTTTGAATTCTCAAGTACAATAACATTACAGTAATTATGACATTTTGATAGAAAACACTATCCTACATTAAGCAAGCTCTTTTTGTTTAACAGTCATTATCCTGTCCTCTAAATAATGGCTACTTTAAAAAAATTTATTATCACTGCTACAGTCTTGACAAATGAGTAAACTGTAAGGGTTAAACTGTTAGATACTCTGCATTTCTAGAAATGTATAAAATGAGGTGAAATCTTCCAATAGACAGGTTTATAAGTGTGAAGCATTGGATTTGTTAATATATTTGGTTAATTTATTAAAATTAGAAGAATACATTAATTTTAAATACGAGGATTTATATTAATCCTTTTAATTACTGCTTTAAAACTAAAGCAAATTAAGTCTGTTACAAGATTATTGATTAGAGAAAAAAATACAGTTTCTATTCAAGAATACTATTCTATGAGTTTCCTCAGCAGCTGCTTACAATATAGGATATGATCTTTAATTACTAAGAATTCAAACTAATAATAGAGGAAGTGAAAGAACACGTTTTTGGGTAAAAATAAGGCACCTGAATCACTAAACAAACATTTTTACCACAGTATATTTTCAATAAACATATTTATATGAAATATGCCTATTAGGAGAATAAAATCACTAATTTAAAAGAAATATTAAAAAGATAGTTAAGAGACAACCTCAGTTGTCTGGTAATAAATCTTAGTAGCATTATTTAAAATACTATTTAACAGGCAGAAATGAAGCAAATACATCTTCAAAACAGCTCAATATAATTAAAACAGACATAATATTTTAAAAACAAAAGTGAGGCTTTTTATGTAAAAACTGAACTGGAATCAGTGATGGTTTCTGTTACCGAGGCCATGGTAGAATCTGAGATTAAAATAAATATATAAATGAATTTGGGGAAAAAAATTAGACTAGATCATAGAGAACAAAGAAACGCAAATTTGTAAAGACTGAATAAACACACATAAAAATTAGTAGATTTGGAAAAGAAAAAAACATACCAAAGTCAAGATGTATGTTTGAAAAGAGGCAATAGTGGGGACATACAGGCCTGTTTGGGAGCCATTACATATGGAGAAGTCTTTCTGATTGTAATAGGAGTTGCTGATTTGAGAAAATCACAGATTATTCTGGGGATAGCTAAAGAAGGGGATTTAGGATAAACCCATACAGCAGAGAGCTAACCAAGTGGGAAATACATAGAAGACACTAACAGTAATATGTGACGCAGATAATCAGGAATAAAGAAGGAGAAGACATGGACAGAAATCCATACTTCTGCCACTTGTGAGCATTTGTAATTCTAATTCTCTTCCTTTGGACTATAGCTTATTTATTACAAGCACTCCTTACCTCTTTGAAAAATCTCCTTGTTGTTTATGCTAGCCACAATGCTTCTCTTTTCACTCAGTTAATGCTTTCACAATACTATTTTTATGATATAAAGAGTCCTAAATTAGTATCAGTTTTAAAGATAAACAAGGAAAAATAAAAGGGGGCTTTAGTATAATATACTACATATTGTGTGAGGAAACTCAAGATAGCTTCAAGAAATAATAGAATTTGAGGTGAATTTTAAATAATGGCTACAAACCTATGAGAGCTCACAAAAGGCACTTAATTTTTGTTGAATGAGTGAGTTAGTCAGGAAGGGTAGGAGAAGGTCGTTTAAGTATAGAAAAAGTAGGTAAGTTTCAAAGGGCATGAAGATGCCAAAGAAGATAAGATGCTAAGGGTGTTTCAAAAGATTATGTGGGTGAAGCAAAGGGTACAGGGGAAGGCCATGAGAGAAGAATGTTGGGTCAGTGAGGAATATGCCTGTTATGCTATGCTAAGGATCTGGAAAATTTTTCAATGGGCAATGGGTAAAGTCTTTTAAAAAATTAAAGCATTATGAATGATAGCTATGGAAAGATACTTTTAGCACAACAGATACAGAGGACCTAGAGCCTAAACACTGAGGTCAATAGCAACAATTTAAGCAAGGGGAGGTAGGCTTTGTATTAAAGCAAACAGGATAGAGAGGATGTGGCAAAATGATGAGCCTTTCAGGAGGGAGAATTAGCAGACCTTAGTGCTAGTTAGATGTGAAAGGAGTGATGGGAAAGAAAGAAGAGTGAGCACTACTCTGAGTTTCCAGCTTGGGAGATGGTGGATAAGGACGTCACTAAAATACATATAAGAGAATTAAAGGAAAACAAAATTTAAGGAGGTTGGTAAGTTTGGTTTTGGATTTGAGGTGGCAATGGGCCATTCAAATGGAAACATGTAATAGGAAGTCAAATCAGTAAAAAAGGTGCGCACTAGAGGTCGTTAGCATATAAGTGAGATTCAAAGCTGGGGAAGGTAAGAGAAACTAGGATACACATATAAAACCAGGAGATGATCAAGTAAAGGATCCTGGAGATAAAACACAGAGAATCCGCAGAGGACAATGAACCAGAGAAAGAGAATGGATAGAACTTGTCAGAGTCATAAAAAGAAGAGAAGAGGTTGTCAATGAAAACCATGAATTCAAAATATTTCAAGACTGGTCAATAATTCAATTACTATAGTGAAGGCAAACATAACAGGAGTTAAACTGGCCAAATGGATTTAAAAATAGCAAGAAACTGCCAACCTCTTGAAAAAAGAAGTTTATGTAGCATGGTGGAAAGAAAGCCAGACTAACTGGGCTGAAGTAAAGACAGTATGTGTAGAATGCTCCTGATGGTGTAGAAAAAGAAAAATAGTGGGCTAGTATAGAAGCGAGGAAGAACTGAAAATGATGCTTTTAAGATAAGGCCATTTGAACATAGTTCTAAGATGAGAAGACACAATCAATAGAGAGGAAGATACTAATCAGTCTAGTAGATGTAATACAGATTTTTCAGGGACTGAGATTAAAAGCATAGATAAATAGCCTTTAAAAAGTCAGCCTCATATCTCTGTGTTAAAAGAGATGGACGGAGATAAAAGTGGACATATCTATGGATATTAGGAGGGAAATCAGAGGGAACTATATGATGTTCATGTCTGACTAAATTTCATCTAAATTGAAGATAGTCATCTAATGAAGTGGGAAGATTTGAATTTACTGTGGAGAATGTTCATGGTAAGGTCTGGATCTGCTGCCAGAGGCATGAGAAAAGAAAACCTAGTGAAGATAAGTAAAAGGATTCCTCAGTAGAGATGACAGCTTAGGTGATGTTAAGACTTACAAATCCAAAGTCACCCCTTAGCAAAATTATGTATTTTTCTCTAGTATGGCCTAGCATCAGACAGATGTCTGTGCTAAAAGAACAGATCAGACATGTTTTCAAGGATATTGTCAAAAGGGAGTAGTAGTAGGTTCCCAGCATGACCAAGAAGGAAGTTGTTACTAATTTTCATCTTTTTCATTTAAATAAAAACTAACCAATAATGATAACATCTTGATTAGACCTTTTACACAGAAAAGGAGGTTGGCAACATCAGAAGAAGTAGTCCCAACACTAAAAGTAACATGATGTGTTAAGAAAGTAGGAGGCAGAAGTAAATGACAATGAATTCAGCATGGATCTCAACTGTTTACATGTCAGTTTCCCAGTGTGTGGAGAGAATAATGTGTATCTACCTAATAGTTGTCAGAATCAAATTAAGTATATAAAAGCATCCTGAAAACTAACAGTAGTTTTAGAACACACTCAAGGCAGAGTAAGCAACTAAAAAAAGTATAAATGAAACTTGAAAAGTTAGCTTTTAAAATGTTTCGTTGTGATACTTATAAAATTGAAAAGGGATACATTATTTTTAAGATAGACATTCTGAAAAATGCAAACGTTTAACAATTTCTAAAACTCTTATAATACAAGGTACATATTTATTTATTTCCCCTACTGTGATGTACTGAGCACCACTGGATTCTAGCCTGTGCATATTCAGCCAGCAGTGAAGACAGTATCACTGCCACCAAGAACTTATGCTCTAGGAAAAATCTCAGGTGTTTAATAACCTCTAACCCCAACTCAAAGCATTAATCAGTTTATATAATGAACACTTAAAAATGGTGAGGACTAGAAATATGCTACATAAATTAAAGATATTTAAGAAACAGGTCTTTAAAAAGTGTTACTGTAATTTATGGAATCAGTCTACACAATGCATATTTATGACAGTCCCTTCACAGGTAAAGTATGACTGAAGCTTAAAAGTAGTTATATCACTTTATATTCTCTTTGCTTTCCTTGATGGCAAGCAGCATGCACATAAGCACTTCTTAAGGATACTAACCTCGCAGTGCCATCAGATGATGAAGTAAGGATATAGCGATCATCTTTTGACCAGGAAAGGTCATAAATGATGTTGAGGTGGCCACACAATTCTCTCATGAAACGTCCAGAAGGAATTTCATATACTAATGAAAATATTTAGAAATTAGTAGGTTTCCACACAGAAGATCCTTAATCCAATAATATACAAATGCATAATTTAATATTATTTAGACATAAGCAGTCTGTAGCAAGATTATAACCAAAGACATTTGCAGTGTAAAGGAAATTTAAAAATTTACTTAAGAATCCTTTTTCATTTGCTTTATACAAGAATTCACATGCAAAATTATCAGTTATAATTTTGCTATAATTGTCAATTATTTTCATCTCTTTAAAGAAGTTCCCTAAGAATCTTTAATAACAAATTTATTAGTTGAATAATAAATAACATTTACATTGCAATTCACTTAAAATATTCTATAGTTTGGGTTTCATTAATTATTATTTTACCTGAAAATCAACCAAATGCCAACCAAAAATTTAATTACTTGAAGTAATGAGAAATTTATATTGTGCTATTATCAAAAGTAAATTTTAATACTAAAATCAACAGGGATAGTAGACAGGGATAGTAAGGGAATTAACAATTACTCAATAAGACATACAAAGCACTGTGGTATTTTACTATATGTTTAAACATACAATGAAATCTAAGATAAACTTAACACAGAAAAACAAAGTTTCCAAGTCTCTACTTCCATCTAGTGGTAAAAATCAATTGCCCTTTCAAATACTTAGCAGTTCAGCAATAACAGCAGTCCCCCCTCATTTGCAGTTTTACTTTCTGTGGTTTTCAGTTACCCGCAGTCAACCATTCTCTGAAAATTTAAATGGAAAATTCCAGAAATAAATAATTTATAAGTTTTAAAATGCACATTATTCTGAGTAGTGTTATGAAAGCTTGTGCCATCTAGCTCCATCTGACCAGGATGTGAATTATCTTGTGTCCAATGTATCCATGCTACAGAAACTAACTGTCTACAAACTTAGTAGCTGTCTCAGTTACCAGACTGGTTGACACCTAGTGCTGCTGTTCAAGTAACCCTTATTTAACTTAATAATGGCCCCAAAATGCAAAAGTAATAATGTTGGCAACTGGCATATGCCAAAAGAGAAACCACCAAGAACCTCCTTTAAGTGAAAAGGTGAAAGTTCTTGATTCAAAAAGGAAAGAAAAAAAATCCTATGTTGAGGTTGCTAGGATCTTCTATCTGTGAAAAAAATCTTCTGTGAAATGGGGAAGAAGGAAAAAGAGGTTTGTGCTAGTTTTACTGTAATACCTCACAATACAAAAGTAATGGCCTTTAGTGCATGGTAAGTGCTTTGTTAAGATGGAAAAGATATAAATCTGTGGGTGGAAAATATGAGCAGACAGGTGTTTCTACTGATGGCAATCGGGTTCAGTGCTACTTGAGGTTTCAGGCTTCCACGGAACACATCCTCTACAGAAAAAGGGGGACTATTACACTTATGGAATAGCAAAATGAGAGTCTTGGAAAATCTCCTCCCCACAGAAGCAACAAGAACACTGGCAAAAACTGTCAAAAATCAACGTTGTCAGAACTCTGAAGATTAAACAATGCTTACAAAAAATTTGAGGAGTACTTGAGAAAAATGGCTAAATCTTGGTAAGAACATTGAGCTTTATGGTGTTTTAACTTGCAAAGTTCTCATTCCTGTCTCAAACTTTAAAGTAGTCTTAAAAACCAATAAAAATCAGGAGCCTAGCAGCCACTGGAGGGGAGAACAGGTCTGAAGCTCCCTCAAAGTTCCATCCCCAAAGACTTCTTACTGTTTGACAGTCTGGTCCTCGATGAAAGATCCATTCTCAGGGCCTGCCTTTATTTGACCTGGCTCACAGCATGCTCTGGGAGAACAGCCCTAACCTTGGGGTACATGTCAAAACAAACTGTGGCATCATTTAACATCACAGATGCCTAAGACATTGGTCCCAAGTAAGGCTAAGAGGCGGCTCACCAAAGAACTTAAAATGAAAAACAACAAGAAGAAAAAAACAAAAAACAAACCAAAACAAAACAAAAAAACTGGGAATGAGATGTCCATAGGGAACATTGAAAAGCTCCAAAATATTCCTGGGTATCTAGGCAGATTCCCACACATGTATGGGAAGGGAATATGCACACCCAAGAAAGACCTGAGAGGCTTTACTTCTCACTTGGGCTGACCTGGCACACATAGAATGTTAAAGCTAAGGGAGAGCTGTAAACTGCCTACTGAAGCATTCGAGTATGTATACCCTAACACACACAGAGTCCCTTGGCAAAGACCAGTAGACCTATCCACTCAGGCATTTAAAAATCTCTGTACAATCACAACAGTGGTCCCAGTCTGACCACTAACTTAACTGAGGATAGACATCAATGGTAACACATGACAAAGAGCAAAGACTACAGAATCAGTCCAAAATCACTAAGCTAACTGCAAGAATAAATCCTGGGTGGGTGTGAGGGAATAAAAGGGAGAATGTGATTTCCAGAGCTGTCACACTGTATTAAACATTCAGTTTTCAACACAAAATTATGAGAAATGGAAAAAACAGGAAAGAGTGATCCATACACATGGAAGAAAGTAGTCCACACAGAAACTGAGGAAGCCCAGATACTGGGCTTTCTCAACAAAGACTTTTAATCCACTACTATAAATATATTCAAAGATCTAAAGAAAACCATGTCTAAAGAATTAAAGTGTGAAAAGATTTCTCACCAAAAAAGAGACTAACAATAAAGAGACAGAAAGGATTTAAAAAAAAAAAAAAAAAAAAAGAACAGCTAGAAATTTTACAGTTGAAAGTATAATAACTGAAATAAATAATTCACTAGAGGGGCTCAACAGAAGATCTAAACTGAAGGAACTACTAAATTTGACAATAGGTCAACTGAGATTATCCAGTCTGAAAAACAGAAAAAGAATGAAGAAAAATAGAAAAGTCTTACAGACCTGTGGGACAGCACCAAGCGTACCAACACGGGCATAATGGGACTCCCAGAAGAATAAAGAGCAAAGGGGCAAAAAGAACAGAACATTTTCAAGAAATAATGACTGAACACTTGTCACATTTGTGAAAAACATTGATCTGCACATTCAACAAGTTAAAGAAATCCAAGGAGACACATCATAATCAAAAAGTCCAAAACCAAAGACAAAGATTCCTCCTTCTCCCCTATTTTTGAGATTTAAGCAATGTCTAAATCTTCACAGCATTTTAAGAAAGTTTACTTAAGCATAAAGTAACGTATTTATTACAAAAGTTTTTAAAACATAAAATCAGAATAAAATAATTCCTTCACTATCCAAAAGAAATAAATTACTTTCAATAACTTAGGAGCATTTTTTGTTTTTGAGACAGAGTCTTATTCTGTATCCAGGTGCCAGGCTGGAGTGCAGTGACGCAATTTCGGCTCACTGCAACCTCTGCCTCCTGGGTTCAAGCAATTCTCCTGCCTCAGCCTCCTAAGCAGCTGGAACTACAGGCGCAAGCCACCATGCCCAGCTAATTTTTGTATTTTTTAGTAGAGACAGGGTTTCACCATGTTGGCCAGGATGGTGTCGATCTCTTGACCTCGTGATCTGCCCACCTTGGCTCCCAAAGTGCTGGGATTACAGGCGTGAGCCACCACGCCCAGCCAGAGCATTTTTTAAGAATCTTTTTTCCCCCTACATATAGGTTTTTGGTGAATTTTAAAAATAGCATAATGGTAATCAAACTACACAAACAATTTTTTATTTTTAAAATTTATTACTATTTCATAGGGAGCAATATCTATTTAATAAATGCCAATCAAGTCAATTATGAGTCCCTGCTGAAAACAAAAAGACAGGGAAATCAATCAAGTAATAGCAAACTGTGTCAAGTTGAGAAAAGTTCCATAAGATCTAGTTTGTTTATGGCAGACATCCACAAGGAGCTGGCTACTTCTACAGAGGGTAACTGGTTTTTATTATTGAGTCAGAAGTAAAGGAGAGAGTATTTAATGCTTCTAAGTCTAGAACAGTATGATAATGCTCTAGACTTTAAAAAGTCTAGATAAAGCTCTAGAGCTTTAAAAAGTCTCTAAAGCTACAGAAATAACTGTTCTTGGCCTCCCTGCTGGCTTCCCTATCATAATGAGAAGTTTTCATCTAGGTACTCTTGAGTCAATTATTGGTATTCTACTGCACAACAAATTTGGAGGCTTTTGTAAATCAAATCATCACTGCTATCAACTAACCACATTGGAATAATGTTCCCCATGATAGTTATTAAAACATGCTCCTAAATTTCTATATTTAAAATACAAAATGTTTACAAAAATCCTCCTGCGTGTTTTAAAAATAAATTTACCATCTCTCATCTGATCATTCTCATTCTACTTCTGAACAGTTATTGTACAGAAAAGTGTAAAATTATTATAAAAGAACTTTCTCTACTTGAAGAAATCTGTTTAATTTAGTAGTACAGGGGATGACTCAAGTTAAGATTTCCATGAAATAAAAAACTAAAGAATGTTCTCCAAGCAGACTACGCTCAGATTAAACAGGTAGGATTATTACTCACAAATAATTGGATATCCATCCCGGCTGGCACAAGCTGCTGCTAGTATTCTTCCATTGTGGGAGAAATCAAGACAAAAACATCCGCGTTCTCCTGCATTTAGTGAAAAGAGGTGTTTGTTTGGGATACGGCAAGCCTAAAAAGCATACATTTAAAAAGTATAAATTAGAAAACATTAAAATGCAAAGGCTAGCTTTAAATTTCAATTACTGTAGTTTTTTTTAGTCCTTTTATTATGACGCACAGAAAGAGAAAAACACACATGCAGAATGTTGAAAAACCATAGTAAATTACTTTGCAAACAGAGAATGAGTTCCCATGAAATTTTTAAAGTGAATTTGTTCTTTATGTTTAACTAGTACTTAATTCACGTAAATATGAATAGAAAAATTTCAATATCTGCTACTCTAAAGCTGTCACTGCCACATTGCTTCTATATGCTACATAAAAGAATGTATGTCATAGTCTTATTCTATGACAGCACTAGTAAGTCACTTTTGTTAAAGTCGCAAGCTTTTTTTAAGACCACAAGTCTTAAATGAATGCTCATTCTCTTTTTGTCTATCTTAAAATAATAACCCTTTTTGGCTGCCTTCCAAAATGTATTTTCAAACTAATCAATCCTTATTGGTCTCATTCATTATTACAATTTCTTCAAAATTTTTAATGTTTTCACCCTCTACTACCAGATGAAGCCAAAATTTTCTGGGTATTAATATCTACTGTGGAAAATACCAGTTACTTTTATTTATTTTAACTATTACCTAATTCTATCTCTCCCAACCTTCAGTGAGCCTTAGTTCTTCTGTTTCTTATAATTTAAAAAGTTGAATGAAACGTACACTGGGCTTCTACTATATGCCATGAAAGTTGTACTTTGTTACAAATGTCTGAATATATATTCATCACAGCCATCCTATGAGTAGCTACTATTAGCTAAGAGTAACCATTATTAGCTACATATAGCTAATAAGGATTATTCAAAGGGTCAAGCCTAGCTTAATGGACCTACTCAAAGACTGTTACTTCAAAGCCATGCTTTACAGACCAGCCCAGGTTTTTCACAAATAGTAACAAGATCTAGCAGTAACTTGGGAGGCAGCATTATGACCAGCTACTACGAATGTGAAAAATTCAACAGAATTTGTTAAGTGTCAAGTATGTACCAGACTCCACGCTACCCATCTTTTCTGTGCATTCTCCATCCACATAACTAAGAAAAGGGAGAGTAGGGTAACAAGGGAACAAACATGAAAAGAAATGTCAGGAGGCTTTATAATCGCTTGCTGCTGCTCCTAGAGTAAGAAGTGTAGTTACGGAAAACTCTGTGCCCAATCACCTAGGCTGAAAATGAAAACACTGAAGCCACTACCATTTTCTTTGTATTCTCAGGGTTTGACACTGTGCCCTAGCCAGAAAAGACTCTCAATGAATGTCTGATAACAACAATAAAGGTCCTCAAAAGCTCTGACTCTTTCCCCTCCTTTACTTCCTTGTCAGTCACTAAATCATCCTGGTTCTTACTTTCGGTCTCTCATATTCATTAACCCAAAGTTAGACCCTCATCACCTCACACATCAATGACTTCCATCTAATTCTGATGTTACTATTTCGAGATCTGCCCATGCCATTGCCTGCATTAATTCATCCTCAAGTACAATTGTTATTTTTCTCACCCACCCAAGAACCTTCTTAGTCCTTAGATCCCTCACAATCAAGTATCAGGCTACCATTTGAGACACTCCAGAGTGTGGGCCTAATCCATTACACTACTTTATCTCTTCTTTTACAAACTCTAGTTTCCAGCCAGGCAAACTTTTGAGTGCCTAATGAATACAACAGGTCCTTTCCCACTTATTTACAACTTTGCCTTTGTATGAAATAACCTTCTTTGTCTCTCCTTCACTCAACCTCTACCTTGGCCATCCTAGCCTATCTCAAGCTCCGTTGTCGAATGAGCCCTTCTTCCACCATTCTAGTTCACATTCTTCATATCTGCAATTCTCAAACGTTTTTAGTTTTGAGATGCTTTACATTCTTGAAAATGTTTTCCAGAGGCTAAAAAAAGTTTTCATAATAAAATAAAAATGAAATAACTTGCTAACTTCAATGTCTAGCTTAATAAAATCTAGACTTTCATAACTGCTTCTGCTGTCTTGTGATATCAGGTTATCTAGCCTCTAGAAAATGCTAGTACATACTTGTAACAGAATGAATCTGAATGAGATTAATAACACCTTAGAATCATTATGAAAAGAAATTGACTTCAAGGACCCCCTGAAAAGAACTCAGAACTCCCAGAGGTCTCCAAACTACACTTTGAGAACTGCTGATCTGTACAATTATCTTTGTATCTACATTTCCTCAAGACTTCTCTGAAGTATATCTGAAAATGAACAACATTGTAACTGCTTTCTTTTCTCACCTAACCTGGAAGTTCCCCAAGGGCATAATCTAAGTGTTATTCTCTCCATATTATTATGCTTGAAGTATTCTAACTCAAAGTGATTTAAAAATGTATCTGTAAAATTGTCTTCAAAAAGAAAGTTAAATGTGACATAAAATACAGAAAATGAAGATGACTAAGTAAGAATAGTAAGTTCTTATTTCTATATTAGATGTTTGAATAAGTTAAGATTTTTGGATAAATTTCATCTGGTCGTAGCTTATATGTATAAAATAAACGACTCCATTCTTTATAAAAACAAGTTTTTAAGGTAATAAGTAAACATCTAAAAAAATCCATTATTATCAATCACTTCACCTGCCCAGGGAGTCGTTTCCACTTTATTACTTCCTTTGAATCTTCTAATCCAGGTTCTGTGTCTACTGAACTTGACTCATGCTGACGTTCACAATGCACTGGTTTACCTTTTTCCTCCTGAAGAGCCATCATAGAGCGGTAAGATGGCTTTATCTAAATATGCATTAAAACGTGAAAATTTATATATCATGTTCACCTTTTTCTTTTTCTAGCATATAGTTTTTAAAATACTGAAACAAATAATATAAAAATTTTTCAAAATGTAATCCAGAAAAAATTCTACTTTTATTTGTACATTATTGTAAACAAAATGAAAAAGCTGCTTAAAATTACAGTCATATGACCAAAAAGCCTTAAAAGTTTCAGAGGAAAAAATATGACTACAAAGGCTGCTTATCACCGACACCTATGAGTTATGCCATGGCTCTGATATACTACCATATCTCTGGCTTTAAAATCACAAAACTAGTATCATAAAAATCTAAAGTTTTAAAAATCCTAATTTTTCAGTAATATATTTAACTCCATCCAAACCAATGCAAATCAGCTCTGTAGTGACAATATATATCAGGTACAGAATGTGCAAATGACCTGAAAAATTAATGTATTAAAAGAAATAGGATGAAAGCAGAACTTTTTTATTTTAGGGCCAATTCTTTACTAAGATTATTTATAATATTAATCTATGGAAAACAGCAGAAGAAACATTACATACTGATTATTTGAATAATATTGTGAAAAATGTACCCAGAAATCAGGAGTCTGCAAACTGCAGCCCGCACACCAAATCTGGCCTGCTACTTGTTTTTATAGATAAACTTTTATTGGAACATACCACACACATTTGTTTAGTTATTGCCTACACATGTCTATGTAGCTACTTTCACACTATCAAGGCAAAAGTGACAGAAGCTACAGGGCCAAAGCCTAAAATATTTACTATCTGGCTGTTTATAGAAAATATTTTTCAACTCTTGCTTTAAATCAACTTTTTATCTTTAATTTTTGAAAACCAAATTATAATGAAACATTTTTCCTAACACCAAAAGCTGCATTTCATATTTAAAATTCATTTATGCATCTTTTAAATATCAGCTATTATAGGCTTAATATATAATCCCAGAAATCTACTAAAGTAATTATTAGAGGCCTTATCTTTTAAGAAACGACAAACATGTTATGTCACCATTTCAACAGTAGAGGATATACACTTATATGTACTATTAACTTACACAGTCTGGAACTTTCAGTCCTCTTACAGTTACATACAGTGTTGATGGGTAACGATTTCTTGGACATTTTGACCACCATTCAAACACCTCAACAACACTTAATTGGGATCGAGGCTTAGTAGGTGGGCAATATAGCTGCAAGCGAAGTTTTGAGTTGATGTTTGCATTTCCATTGGCTCCCAGAAGCTTAAAATAAGAATTCATATAAAATGTTATCTTCATTGAAAATAAATATATCCAACAAAGCAATAGTATAAAGTTGGAAACATTTTTAAAAGATTAATATGGCAAGCTGAAATGTCTTGTTTTATAAAGCAAAGAACACTGACATAGTTGGTTAAGCACAGTTCCAGATCACTTTTGACAAAAGGTAACCCAAATGGCTTTTAAAATATTTTTCTACTGGAAAATATTCTATATACCTACTGTAATCTACATACCTACTGGTCAGGCATGGTGGTTCACATCTGTAATCCCAGCACTTTGGAAAGCTGAGGTGGGCAGATCACGAGGTCAGGCGTTCGAGATCAGCCTGGCCAACATGGTGAAACCCCGTATCTACTAAAAATATAAAAATTAGCTGGGCATGGTGGCAGGCGCCTATAATCCCAGCTACTTGGAAGGCTGAGGCAGGAGAATCATTTGAACCCAGGAGGCTGAGGTTGCAGTGAGCTGAGATCACACCATTGCACTCCAGCCTGGGTGACAGGACAAGATTCCTTCTCAAAAAAAAAAAAAAAAGGAAAAGAAAATTCCTGATAGCTCTTTTTGCACCTGTACAACAATTTCAGACTGATGGTACAGCATTTACACTACTGTGCCAGATTTCACACTGAACAATGGAGATGATCAATACACATTTGTTTGAAATAATTATGATAAAGATTAAATTGCGTATTTACACAAGATACAAAGTTTCCATTTGCTTAATATCAGTATTTAAAATGGTTAAAGTTTTATGTTTTAAATTTTTAAAAAGTTAAAATCATTTTAAGATAATTAAACTCACTCACAGGTCATTTGCTACATTTTTTCCAATATTTTAGTGTATCTTCTTTCAAAAGTCTATTTTTAAAACGCTGTTAAACAAAACTTATGTTTAAGCTAACTTAATGGAAGTTTTTGTCTTTTTGGGGGGTAGGGGGCAGAATCTTGCTCTGTTATCCAAGCTGGAGTGCAGTGGCACAATCTCAGCTCACTGTAACCTACACCTCATGGGTTCAAGTGATTCTTATGCCTCAGCCTTCCGAGTAGCTGGGATTATGGGCACATGCCACCACACCTGGCTGATTTTTGTATTTTCAGTACACTCAGGAATTTTGCCATGTTGGCCAGGCTGGTCTTGAACTCTTGGCCTCAAGTGATCTGCCCACTTCAGCCTCCCAAAGTGTTGGGATTATAGGCATGAGCCACCATGCCTGGCCCTCAATGGAGATTTTTATAGGAAAAATAAAAATCTTACCAACTCTGAATACATCCTCTTTCATTAGACCATGACTGTAAATAGGAAATGAAATGTCTTTCTAACCTTTATGTCCTCTACAAAATAGAGGCAGAAAGATAGTTTGAAGCCTTTCCAACAGTTCACACAAAACATGGAAGTATCTTAAATTAGAAGAATAGGCACTGAGTGCAGGGAACATATTTAACAATGGTTACTTGTAGACTTACGTAGCTTGGAAAGTAAAAAAAAGAGTCAAGAAAGACTCTAAGATGGTATTGTCTAAGAGAGTTTTCTATGACAAGGATACTCTACATTTGTGCTAACCAGTAAAGAATCCACATGTGGCTACCCCGCACTTGAAGTATGGCTAGCACAAATGTGAAACTAAATTTTTAATTATATTTAATTTGAATTCAAACAGCCACATGACTTGTGGCTACAAAAACAGTGTAACTTTCAAGTTCATGACTCTGGGATAGTGGACAGACAGTGGTACCACCAATTGAAGTAGCAGAGACAGTAGCAAGAATATTCAGTTTGGGGAAATCTGAGATATCTATGAGTTATCTGAGCTGAAATGTCCTGTAGGTGACTGCATTTACAAATCTGAAGCACAGGTGAGAAAAGTGGTTCCAAGAAAAGTGGGTTAAAGACGAAACCATGAGTAGGACTGATATTAAGGAGGTGGGTAGAAGACCATGAAGGAAACTGAAAGACTGGCATAAGAAAAATTAGGAAATCATGGTGTCAAGAAAACCAAGGTAACAGAGTTTCAAGAGAATGGTATGTTAAATGCGTAAATGTGACAAAAAAACTAAAATATGTTCAAGAAATTTGGCAAATAGAAATCATTAGTGATTTGGTTGGAGAAGTTTTAGTGGCAGAGGCAAAATCCAGAATGTTGTTCAGGAATGATGAGTTCAGAACTGATGCATCAACAAGGAAAAAGAGATGGCAAAATACAGCCCATCTTTCCCCCTACCCCTTTAGGAAAGAATGTAAAGACAATGGAGGTTATAAGTTGAACGGGTAACATTGTTATCAGTGTCAAATGACACACAGGGGTAAAGAACAGTTCCAAATTGAATAATAGGTATGTTCAGTCATTAAATAATAAGCACTCGAGACTCCCTTCATAAACCTTCTTACAGCTCCCCAAAGTTCATCACGGTAATTAAATAAAGATATTCCCCAGCTTCTAAATCATACTTCCCACAGATTGTTTTAATTTAACCAGGCAATTCAGTTTACATTAATATGCTGCTTAGCATGCATAAAGATCTAAGTTTCAGCCAAGATCCTGCCATTATGGTTATAAATTATATAACGTAGAGCTCAAATAAATAAGGCTTTATTGCTTTTTAGTTTAAAAGAATAGCCACATATATGTACTAAAAGAAGTGAAAGTACCTGAGAATCTGAGGCATAACTGAGAATTAAAATAAAGTCTCACTTGAACTACTGTAATAACAATTATCCAAGACATCCCTGGAACCAATAGTATAGGTTATAAAACATCTAAATTTTAATTGTCTTCACGCCACTTTTTTTTTTTTTTTAGATGAAGTCTCACTCTGTTCCCCAGGCCGAAGTGCAGTGGTGCAATTATGGCTCATTACAACTTCCGCTTCCTGTGTTCAAGCGATCCTCCCCGCCTAGCCTCCTGAGTAGCTGAGATTACAGGTGCACAACACCACACCCAGGTAGTTTTTGCATTTTTAGTAGAGACAGAATTTCACCATATTGGCCAGGCTGGTCTCAAACTCCTGACCTCAGGTGAACTGCCCGCCTCGGCCTCCCAGAGTGCTGGGATTACAGGTGTGAGCTACTGCATTCATCATGCCACTCTCTTGAAGACAAGTTTTATTCTCGTCATTCTTTCCATGATCATTGATTAATTCTCTATATTCACCAAGCACTTTCTATGTGTCATTAATATGCTGGGAGCTGGTGATATTATAGGATAGAGTTTCAAGAGAGTGATATATTACATGCAAAAAGATCTAGCAAAATAAGGACTAAAAATGTTCAATATATTTACCCAAAAGAAGTCATGGTGACTCTAAAAAGCTTACAGTCTAATGAAAAAGACAGATAAGTAGTAGAAAACGTAAAGCAGATAGAATACCTTATTACCCTTTATGGGGGGATACACAGAATTCTTGACTGCCATTTTTGCCAATGGCATAAGTTGAATAAATAAATAAAAATCCATATAGTACTTAGAGGTAAAAATGCTATGAAATATGTTACTACTTCCCAAGTGCAACTTACAGTAAATACTGCAGGTCTGCACGAACCTTAGCATAAAAGAAATGCAGTTTTTAATAAAACCACAAGATGGCAATATTTACTATGTGAAAGTGAACTTTTTTGCTTTTTTTTAAATGGTTTTTTTTTTTTTTTTTTCCCCCCCTCTAAATCAGTATGGAAGGTGATTCCTTCCATGCTGGCATAACAGGTTTATATAAGGGTGATCACAGATAGTACACTGGACCAGGTGATTCCTAAGGCCACTCTCAATTACTTACTACAGCCAACCTGGCTGCTATTCAGTTCTTTGATTATAATACTTCTAAAACCTCTCTCTAAGCCCTAATATGGATTAAATGTCTTAATTGGATTTTCATAGCATCTGCTCTATAGCACATAACAATGTAGCTAACACATCTGTATAGAAATTAAATTGGTGGGCATATATATACAATGTCTAATTTATCTATGAATGTAGTGTATTTAGCAGACTGCCTCATATTTTATAGATAATATTTGTTGAATGGATACACAAATGAAAATGTTTTTATAAGATGGTACAAAATAGACTACTCAAGACTCTTTATAATTTATGTTTGAAGGAATAAAAGATAATTATCAAATTAAAATATCCTTTCTTTAAAAAAAAAATCTGTCTTTCATCTTTGCTGAAACATCCTAGTCAAAGACATCTAGTCAAAGACAAAGGTACAAAGACATTTTTTTACCTAGACTACTGTCAGAATTTCCTAATTTGATTTCAAGCATCTACATTTGCTCCCTCTCTAATCTGTTCTCCACATAGCAGAGTATGTATCCTTCTAAAACATAAATCAGATTATTTTCTTGTTTTGTTTAAAATCCTATAATGGCTTCCCACTGCTCTTTAAATTCTATGATGGCTCTGTCTTGCCATAATGACTGCGAAGATCTCATCATCATAATTAACATGCTGTTGACCTCAGCAACCTCCTCATGCCCCATTCTCCCCTGTCAGTCTCTGTCCTCCAATCTTGGTGGCCTTCTTTGATTTTCTGAATTAACCCTGCTCCTTCAAATATCAGGGTTTTTGCATATATTGCTCCCTCTACCATGGACCATCTCTTCCCCATTGGTGGCAGTATGTCTCTTCCTCAGGAATCCTTTCCCTGACCCCACAGTTCATCACCCATCCTGTACCACTTTAGGATATTTATAAAAATTTATAATTAAATGATAAATTGTGAAATCAATTGTTTCGAGTTTATGTTGCTGGAATATGAAGTCCAGGAGTTCAAGGAATTTGTCATCTTTGTGCACTGACAAGAACAGTCATTGGTACATAGAAAAGTTTTAATAAATATTTGTTGAATTGAATAAATAATATCAGGGCTGTTTCTGTCTTTTTTAATGCTACATCCTCAGAACCAAATAGCGTAACTGGCACATACTGGGCCATCAATAAATATTTAAGAATCTAAATGAGCATAACCTGAGCTTGAATTAACAACTCCTCATCTCTGCAGCCTTACCTTAGATTCTAACTCCTTATATGAGACCAAACTGACTTGGGAGTAGGCACCCAGCTTACATTTGAAGACCATTTTAAAAGTGTTTAAAACGGATGGAAAACATACCTTAAGAAATGCCCAGGCAATTTTCCGAAAGCCACATTCTTGGTTTTTAACCTCAGAATTATTCTTAATTTCATCCATGCTTAAGAAATCAAGAATCTGCAAATAAATTCACAGAAGACTAAGCTACCTAAAATTTAATATTTTCTAATGGCATACTATTAAAAATTTAAAGATCATTTGTTTAGTACTTAAAAACATTTACCTTTACAGGAAGTAGAAACACTTTTATTTCCCTTCATTCACCTTAAAGTTAATTCAATTAGGGAGGGTCCATTTTTTTATCTTTCATTAATAAATACTAAGATTTATTTCAAATCCAAGGCAAAGTGTTAATCACTTCCAGTATAACCTAGGTACAACTATACTAGGCATAGAATTCTTAAGCTTTGATTATTTTGTGTGTATCAGAGCAGACTTCAAAGCATTGTTTGTTTAAAAAACTCATGGCCCTATTTCTGGGTCTTTGCCTTGGAACACCTTTCTAAAGTTGGGGTTTTTCTCTTTGGATATATGTTATAACTAGGCTTCTCAATAGGAATTCTTCCATTCCTCTATCCTGTCTGGACATAAAAGCTCATGGATTTGCACCCCGCCTGCCACAGAGATTATGTTCTAGGTACTTATCAGAGGCTATCACTTTGAACTCACTGGTGCTTATCAAAAGCTCAGCTGTGCAAATGAGATCTTTATAGAAAGAAGACTGCTTAAGAGACAATACAGACTCCATTCCTCTGTGTTTTTCTGATACCTATATCTTTTTTACAGATATAATACATGCTCAATGAAAACATAATATAAAAAATTCATATATGCAAAGTAAAAACAACTTGTAATTCAGACCCATAGACAGCCACCATTAACATCTGATTTGCAGGATAAATCTTGTTCTGTGTATTCCTAAACATATGTATGAAACTACAAATCTAATAATGATATTTCACAAATTATTTTCATATAATATGTAGTGAATATCTCTTCATGTCAATATACACACATGAATACCATAATGTTAATGACTGCCTACTATTCTGTTACAAATACCATAAATTTAACAGAAATTATAACTTATTTAACTAACTCTCTTACTGATCTAAATTTAGGTTATTTTATCTCCCTAAAATTTTTGCTATTATAAGCAGTGCTGAAATAAACATCCTTGCACATACATCTCTGTGGACTTGTCATTTTTCCCCTAGGAGAAACACCTAGGAGTAAAATAATGGTTTTAAAGACTGTGACAGACATTATTCAGTTGTCCTCAATAAACATGTAAAAAGCCAAGATCAAAAAGTAGCCACATAGGCAATAACACATCACATGAAAACTTAAGAAGCAACCCAAAGTGTTTATAATCCAACAATCTATCCTTCTTCATCTTTTAATACTAAAATGAATATAGAAGAACATTATAACAAATGACAAATATTGAAGACAAAGAAAAAATTCCTTAATATACAAATTATATCAATTTTTCAACAATCACAGGTTTATATAAATCACACACAACATAATCACAAATGTAAATATTGAAATATTTGTATCATAAATGCACACAGACAACCAGAAAGTCAAGGTTCATAAAAATAATACTACAAAACGAATCTTCAGCATTGGTTATGCCAAGTCTCTTGCTGTTCCCATGCTAAACTTCTCCATCTAGCTTACACTAGAAGGGAGGCTTTCTCTACTTTCTTTTGCTTATGGAGACAGAACATATGATACAGAAAAGGAATGTAGTATTCTAGGTTCAAACTATCTCCAAACACAATTTTTTACACTTAAAATTTGAGTAACTTTGGGGAAACAACTTTTACTCCAAACCTTGTTATCATTTTCAGTAAGAAAATTATATAATAACAACTAGTCAGCTCAAAAGCCATCTATTCCATTAAGCTTTCCCTGACTCCTCTGAACCTCCACTAACCCTTCACATATCAGAAGTTCTACATCATTTTTGGTTATACATTAAATTGCATGAATTAACTGATCTGTGTACATTTATCTTTATTTATCCAGGTAGTGCACATATTGTAGGGTATCTAATATGGTTAAGTAAGTTTATGCTTTGTGAAAAGGTTTAAAAATGGAGAAATGCATTCATATGGAGTTAATTCATCACTTCACCACAATTAACAGTCACAGGGTTGTTGTAATTATTAAATGATACAAAGTAGGCCAAATGGCTAACAAGTACAATAGTAAATGCTCAGCAAATATGCTATTGCTGTTTATAAAAGGGCGTCTCACTTGTATTCCATAGCATTCTACAAACACTAAATCCTAGAGATTAAATTCTCACACTTTTTTGCATTATTAGACTACTAAAAATAATAGCTTATATTTATGCTATTAAATATTAACTAACATTTAATTTGAATTGCTCTATTCAATTCATACCTCAAAGAACAGGATGACTTTAGGACTCTCACCAGAATCTCGAAGCAAATAGGGAAAATTTTCATTAAATATAATTTGTTCTTCCCACTCTGGACGTCTTGATTTTAACTGTTTAAAATCATATGGCTGGGTCATAATAGGAAGAATATAATCCACATTCTCTTTTTCATAATAAGATGAAACAGGCCGTTTCCTGTTCAAAAAAAGATACTTCCATTAATGTATTTTGTATAATTTTGAGATGAGAAACAAATATATAGTGTATAAGGTGAGACCATCAGAAATAATGAATAGCCATAATAATACAAAAGGAAAAATTATTTTGATTGTTCGTCTAGAAACTTGGAAATAAGACTTAAAAGTAACAGTCCATCTTACAATGGACTCTCAATAGGTTTCACATGATTATTTTCTTATAGACACATAAAGTAAGAAGTATGATTAGACCTTTGCTGTACAGAGCTGGGATAAAATAACTCCTTCAGGATTTTATAAGAGTTTATAATAAAATTGACATTGCCAGACACAGTGGCTCAGGCCTGTAACCCCAGAGCTTTGGGAGGCCGAGGCAGGTGGACTTGAGCTCAGGAGTTTGACACTAGGATGGGCAACATGGTGAAACCTTGTTTCTACAAAAAATAAAAAAAAATTAGCTGGCTGTGGTGGCATGTGTCTGCAGTCCCCGTTTGGGAGTCTGAGGTAGGAGGATCACCTGAGTCCAGGGAGGTTGAAGCTGTAGTAAGCTGTGATTATGCCACTGCACTCCAGCCAGTGAGACAGAGTGTCTCAAAATAAAATAAAATAAAAATATATATAAAATTGATTTAAATTTAAAAAGGCACAAGATTATAAACCCTTTGACTATCATATTTTCTTTGCATGCCCTAAGGCAAACGAATAAGTTAATGTGATTTTTTTTTGGACAATCATCCCGTTTCCATTCCCCACTGGCTTTCTAAACCAATTTTTTTTTTTTTTAATTTTAGTATAAATGTGTATTTTGTTGTACTTTTCATTTGGGATTTCAAGTATGTATTAGCTATAGAAGTAATCTTAGAAAAAAGTTCAAGATTCATTTACCTTACCTGAGGCCCAGATAACATATTACTTTCAAAAGAAAAATAATGAAGTTAGACAATTAAAGCATTTACAAGGCAATACAAAAGATTTAAAATACAACTTTATGTCATAAATTACTTACTAAACAGATAGAAGCTCTCTACCACGTATAACAAATTATTCTCTTCCACTTAAAAGTAGTTACTGAGCTGGGTGCAGTGGCTCACATCTGTAATCCCAGCACGCTGGGAGGCTGAGGCAAGCAGATCTCCTGAGGTCAGGAGTTCGAAATCAGCCTGGCCAACATGGTGAAACCCTGTCTCCACAAAAAATACAAAAATTAGCTGGGTGTGGTGGTAGGTGCCTATAATCCCAGTTACTCGGGAGGCTGAGGCAGGAGAATTGCTTGAACTCAGGAAGCAGAGATTGCAGTGAGCTGAGATTGTGCCACTACTCCAGCCTGGGCAACAGAGCAAGACTCTGTCTCAAACAAAAAAAAAGTAATTACTGAATTAGATGTTCTCTGTTTCTTCTATAATATTCTGATCAATGTCAATGATTGATGAACATCTACAACTAGTAGACTATTCTCTAATACAAATCCATAACTCTATTCCCACTGAATTTCAATGCCAGAAAAAAAGACTTCTACTGCAGACAGTTTCAATTTCAAGAATTAGCTGTGCAATTAAAAAATAATTACCTATCATCTTTCTTGACATATTGACCAGTATGCTCATCAACCACATGAATTTTTACCATTGGCTGAGAAATCATAAAATCTGACTTAAGTCTATCAGTTCGGTGAATGTAAACTCCCAGGACAAGGTCATCATCAAGCAAACATTTGGGATAAACTGGGCTATCTCCGCTTGTGATTTTGTGAACACCATCACCGTGAACATCTTCGTTATCATGTGCAACTACATGCATGGAAAAAAAAATTAATGTTATAATTAATTGTTCCCATAGTTGTATTTACATATAACCTAATCTTTAAGATCTATGATGATTTCGTTTGATTAACAAAGGAGCTTCAAGGGGAAAGAAAGAAAAAGCCAGACAACAGCAAACCACAGTCTAAAAGTAAAATGCTACATTTACTGATGCATTAAAAATAGGATGCAAAATCTTTGTTTATATTTTTCCTAACAAGTAGCAGAAACACACACGCGCGCGCACACACACACACACACACACACACACACACACAAAGCGAGTCTAAGTCAGGAAAGTAACTTTATCTAGGTATTTTCTAAATAGAATATATATGACTCAATACACTTCCAGCTAGAATTTCCACTTCTGGGTAGGATGCAATAAGATGCAGCAGGTAAACACTTTGAGTAACAACAACTGGAAAAAGCCAAATCAATTACAAAAACCTTATTTTAGATTTTAAAGGCATCAGAGACAAGGTATACCACACAGATTAAAATTCCAGAAAGGGAGAATCAGTCAGAGGTCAGCTGATGGAGTGGCAGCTGTTTTTGCCTCCGGGGGCATTTGCTGATTCAGGGTGTGGGCTGAAGATCAGGGTTTGGCTTAGGCAGAAGGTCACGGCTAAGAGAATGAGAAATCAGCAAAACTCAGTGGTTCCACAGGACCAAAATGATAAAACTGGAGATCTGAGAAGCCTCAAACACACGACCAATTTTTCTCAGAAAACTGAATTCTGAATCTACAGAGAAGCTAGAGAGGTAGTGAAAACTCCTAGGCTTGTGATGCTAGTAGACCATGACCTGCCAGGGGAAGGGGACTGAAACAAAACAGGCAAAGATGACGCCCTGGGGGGTGTGGTCAATTTACATTAAGGACCAAGAGGCCACTTTTCACCTGGGGTCATCTACCAATTCTGGCACAGATCTAGGTTGAAAATCCAGGGGTGATTTCTGGCAGAAGGTTGCTACTTAGGGACAGAGAAATCAGCAGAGATTTTGGCATGCATGGGGGCTAGTGTGACAAAAGTGGATACCTGAAGAAGGATGTCTAACATACAGCCAGTCTCCTGCTCAAAGAATTTGCCAAATTTTGAAGTTGCATGAGACAGAAGACTAAATGGCTAAGTTGAAAATCACTAAGGGGCTAAATAGAACCTCCCATTGTATTTTAGGGCTGAAGAATTATTTAGGGTTACAAATTATTAGAGATAAAGAAGGGCACGCTGCATAATGATAAAAGTGTCAACTTGACAGAAGGTAGAAGAAAAATAAGCTCAAAATCATAGTGGAAATTTTAATACCTCTCTCAATAGCTGATAGAATAAGTAGACTAAAAGATTTAATAAGATGAACTGAGGACAATTAAACTTGACCTAACTGACATGCACAGGACACTGCACTCAACATTAGAAATTGCATTCTTTTCAAGTGAACATGGAATATTTACCAAATCTGACCATAAAATGTTCATAGAAAAGGCCTCAATAAACTCAGAAGATTGAAATCATTCATAATGTTATCTGACAACAATGGAAAACAGAAACCAATAAAAGATAACTAGAAAAGCATCTGCTGCCTGAAACTAAGCAACATACCTCTAAATAATGCATGATCAATTAAAATGGAAATTAGAAAATATTTTGTGTTAAATGATAATAAAAATACACAATATTAAAAATTTTGGAGATGTAGGTAAAGTAGCACTTAGATGAAAAGTCTTAAATGCATATAAAAGAAGACTGAAATCTTTCTTATAAAATCTAATTTATAAATCTAGAAATAAATAGCAAATCAAACCCAAGTAAGTACAAAGAAGGAAAATAATAAAGTTACAAAAAAATCACTAAAATAGTACATAAATGTATGATAGAGAAAATCAAAGCTAAAGGTTGGTTTTTGAAGACTCACAAATTTAAATCCTAAGACTGATGAAGAAATTGAGAGAAAACGAACTGCCAATACCATGAATGAAAAAAATGGAACAGACTTTCAGATGCTATGGAAATGCAAAAGTTGAAAATGTGGATTAAACAGACATAGCCCTCAAAAACTACAGTCTATCAAATAGCGGAGAGAAGTTTATTTAAAAAAAGGGAAAATCAAGCCTGTAATCCCAGCACTTTGGGAGGCCGAGGCGGGTGGATCACGAGGTCAAGAGATCGAGACCATCCTGGTCAACATGGTGAAACCCCATCTCTACTAAAAGTACAAAAAATTAGCTGGGCATGGTGGCACGCGCCTGTAATCCCAGCTACTCAGGAGACTGAGGCAGGAGAATTGCCTAAACCCAGGAGGCGGAGGTTGCGGTGAGCCGAGATCGCGCCATTGCACTCCAGCCTGGGTAACATGAGTGAAACTCCATCTCAAAAAAAAAAAAAAAAAAAAAAAAGGGAAAAGACTGATAATAAGCTAAATCTTGATCTGTATCAAGGCAAGAAAAATGAATAAGGCATAAGGACTGAAAAAGAAGCAATAAAACTATTGTTATTAACCTATTACGTGATCGTATATGTAGAAAAATCAAAACAGTATATGAATAAACTCTGCTGGCCATGATGGCTCACACCTGTAATCCCAGCATTCTGGGAGGCTGAGGTGGGAGAATTGCTTCAGCCCAGGAGTTTGAGACTAGCCTGAAAAATATAGTTAGACCTTGTCTCTACAAAAAATTAGCTGGGCATGGTGGTGCATGCCTGTAGTCCCAGCTACTTGAAAGACTGAGGTGGGAGGGTCGCTTGAGCCTAGGAAGCAGAAGCTGCAGTGAGCTGAGATTACACCACTGCATTCCAGCCTGAGTGACAGGGCGATACCTTGTCTCAAAAACAAATAAATAAACTCTTGCGATAAGTAAATTTAGCAAAATCAATGGATACAATGCTATAAAGTTTTAAATCAAATACATTTCTACATATATGTACCAGCAACAAATTAAAAAAAAATTTAAATGCCATTTACAATACCGTTAAGAAACATAAAATCCTAGGAATAAATCTAAGGAGGGATTCTGCTGAAATTTATATTACTGGGGTATATTAAATAAGATACAAATAAATTGAAGTGCATGCCAAATTCAATGACTGAGAATAATACTTTGTGAAAATGTCAAGTCTCTTTAGAGAGTTGTTAAACTGTGAATCTCTTTAGATTCACCCAGTCTAGATCAAAATCACAGCTTGTAAGACAGGATGGGGGTAGGAAGGAAGAGGGAGAATTGAGAAGCTGCTTCTAAAATCCGTACAGAAAGGCAGAATAAAGAACAGCGTAGGCAATGCAGATAAAGAAGGAAAACTCTAGAGTACAATACTACGTAGCAACACCTATTTAGACACCTATTTAGAGGTGTTGGTACAAACTGTCTAATATAAAAGAATAGAGACTACAAAAACTGATCCACATGTAACACAGTCATGTTATTTATGAGAAAAGTGACACTGAAATACAGAGGGAAAAAGACACTCTCTTCAGTAAATGGTACTGGATCAATTATAATATATTCATATGGGAAAAACATTATCTTGATCATTGCTTCCTATCATAAATAAAAACCAATTCCAGATGAACTGCATATCTAAATGTGAAAAGTAAAACTTTTAAAATAAAACTTTTAGAAAAACATCTTAGAACTTGGGAAAGATTTCTTAAATTACAGAGAACACTTACCATCAAAGGAAAAAAAAAAGGATAAACTGGAGTATACAAAAATTTGTTTTTCGAAAGACACCAATGAGAGAGAAATAATCAAACCAGAGTAGAAAGACATTTGCAATATTATATATGTGTGTGTGCATTTACATCTGAGAAGGGACTCATATTTAGGTATATAAACTATCACTACAAATCAATTAGAAAAAGACAATTCTGTTTTTTAAAAAATGCATAGAAGACTTGAATATATTTACAAATATCAAAATCCAAGTAGGTAATAAACATGAAGGCACTCAACTTCACAAGTTATCATGGAAATAAAATTAAAACCAAAATGAACTATCCTTATAGACTCCTCAAGAATGAGGAATTTAGTCACTCCTAAGAATGACTAAAACTTTAAAAAACTGTATCACATGTTGGTAAAGACATGGAGTGACTAGAACTCTCAAACTCCGCTAGTGTCAACTGGCAAATCAACTTTGGAAAACTGGAAGTAATTATTAAAACAAAAAATATATATAATCTATGACATAGCAACTTTACAACTAAGAATATGCCCAAGATAAAGGTATGCATGTGTTTACCAAAATACATGACTGCAATGTGAATTACAGTTTTACTTAAAATTGCCTAAAACTAGAAACAACTCAAATGGCCTCAATAAAATAGGTAAATTAATTGTGGTATATTCACACAATGGATATCCAAATAATACAAAAATAGAACTAAGAATGAATAAGCTCAACTGTATGCAAGCGACACTAGTGTAAATGTTACAAAAGTAAAACTGAGTAAAAAAAGCCAGGAACAAAGAGCACAGTTTTTATCATTCTATTCATATTAAGGTAAAAAAAAATAAGCAAAAGTAAACTGTTAGATGTCAAGGTAGTGTTTACTCCCACAGGGCAACTAAGGGGAAGGTGATTTTTCTGGGTGTTAATCATGTCTGTTTCTTAATTTGGATACTTATTTTATAGGTATGTTCAGTTTGTGAAAAAACTTTAAAAACATATATAATGAGTATACTGCTTAGTGCTATATATACATGTAAACTTTTTTTATATATGTAAACATGTCTGTATAAACATATAAAACTAGTATACTGCTTAGTGCTTTTCTATATATATATATATATTTAAAATCTAAAATTGACCATTTTGATACCAATTTTTGGCCAATCAAATGGAAACTGAAAGACTAAAAAAGGATGTACAAGTAGATAAGAATATGTAAAGAAAAATACAAGAAAAGAAACAAAAAAAGGAGAAGACAGAAAGCAAGAAGGGAAACAAAGTTGAGAATGGGAAGAGAAGTGGTATTAGGCTGAGGCATTGGAAAGGTACCATGCTTGACAGAGGATGCAGCCTTAATATCAGAAATGTTTACTGGTTGTTGACCATTTATACCTTTCAAGAACTGAGTCTTAACCATTTAGAGGATATAAACTCAGTGGTTTAAAGAAGAAATCCTCTATGCTACAATAGCAACTACAAAGTTAATATTATTTTAAAGTTGAATTTAAAGAATGTCAAGAATCCGAGAAGGCCAGGCATGGTGGCTCATGCCTATATCCCAGCACTTTGGGAGGCAGAGGCGGATGGATCACTTGAGGTCAGGAGTTCAAGACCAGACTGGCCCAAATGGTGAAACTTCATCTCTACTAAAAATACAAAAATTAGGCAGGCGTGGTGGTCGCACCTGTAGTCCCAGATACTAGGGAGGGTGAGGCAGGAGAACTGCTTGAACCTGGGAGGTGGAGGTTGTAGTGAGCTGAGATTGTGGCAGGCACTGCACTCCAGCCTGGGAGACAGAGCAAGACTACATCTCAAAAAAAAAAAGCAACAGAAAAAGGATCCAAGATGGCCGTTTAGGAACAGCTCAGGATTGCAGCTCCCAGTGAAAGCGCAGAGGGTGAGTGGATGCCGCATTTTTATTGCCCACAGACTAGGCAATTCCCAGGCGGAGGAGTTCCACAGGTCACCAGTGCGGCTGCTTTGGCCAGCGCAGCTGTGCTGGCCGGCGCTGCTGCTTTGCCCCGCGCAGCTGCTTTGTCGGCGCCCCGGAGCAGCGGTTCTCCGTACAAAATACACCGGTCCGCGTGCCCTTCTGGCTGGCGATTGGAGCCACGGGAAGTCGCCCATTCGTCTGTTTAAAAAGGGGACTGAGCAGGGAGCCAGGACAGTAGATTCCAGGGCAAAAAAAGCACCACGAATCTCAGTGCCGCTGTTTAAGCCAACGCAGTGAGTCGCCGCCCAGAAAAAAACACACACCGTGGCGCCTCTTCAACAGGCTACTGGAACACCAACTTAAAAAAAAAAAAAAAAGGCTCTGAGGCAGGGAGCCAGCGATCAGGCTGGGCTGGTCCCACCCCCACAAAAGAACAGCAATCAGAAACTCTCTGGATTGAGAGTTTCACAGCAAGCCCAGCTGAACCTGGGACGGTCCAGCTCTGTGGGGGAGGGGCGTCCGCCATTACCGAGGCAGCCCGCCGCTAGGGAGGTAGTCAGCCAATGCTGAGGCAGCCCCCCGTTACCAAGGCAATCCACCATTGCTGAGGCAACTCGCCTCTGCAGAGAGACTCTGCCTCAACAGGGGCGGGCCACCATTGCCAAGGCAGTTCTAACTACACCCATATAAACAGGACTGCAGGGAAGTTCACTCGGCAGCTGGGCGGAGCCCACAGCAGCTCAGCAAAGCCTCTACAGGCAGACAGTGACTAGGCTGCCTCCTTGCTGGGCAGGGCAGCTCTGAAGGAAAAAAAATAAAGAGAAGGCAGCAGTATAACGGAAACTCATAAAGCCCTAAATCCCTGGGACAGAGTACCTGGGAACAAAAAGTGGTTTATGAGTTCTGCTACAGCAGACCTAAACGTACCTGCCCAGCAGCTCTGAATGAACAACGGAGCTCACAGCTCAGCATTTGAACTCCTGTAAAGAAGAGACCGTCTCCTCAAGCAGCTCCCTGACCCCTGTATATCCAAAGAACCACCTCATAAAGGAGAGATCAGATTGACACTTGGTGGGTATCCTTCTGGGACAAAGATAGCAAAAGAAGAAAACTGGTAACAACCCTTATTGTTCAGCAGCTGCTGCAGTGAACCCCAGGCAAGCAGGGCCTGGAGTGGACCTCAGCAGACCTACAGCAGAGGGGCCAGACTGTCAGAAGGAAAACCAAGAAACAGAAATAACCTCATCATCAACAAACAGAACATCCACGCAGAGACCCAATCTGAAAGCCAGCAACTACAAGGTCAACAGGTGGACCTTGTTTCTTCCCATAAAGATGGGAAGAAACCAGCGCAAAAAGGATGAAAACATCCGAAACCAGAACACCTCTCCTCCTACAAGGGATCACAACTCCTCACCAGCAAGGGAACAAGGTTGGAGGGAGAACGAGTGTGATGAAATGACAGAATCAGACTTCAGAAGGTGGTAGTAAGAAACTTCTGTGAACTTAAAGAACATGTTCTAATCCAATGTAAAGAAACTCAGAACCTTGAAAAAAGATTTGACGAAATGCTAATGAGAATGGACAAAATAGAAAGGAATATAAGTGAATTGATGGAGCTGAAAAACGCAACAAGAGAACTTGACGAAGCATGCACAAGTATCAACAGCCGAATTGACCAAGCAGAAGAAAGGATATCAGAGGTCGAAGATCAAGTCAACGAAATAAAATGGGAAGGAAAGAATGGAGAAAAAAGGGCAAAAAGGAATGAACAAAGTCTCCAAGAAATGTGGGACTATGTGAAAATACCTAATCTACGTTTGATAGGCGTACCTGAATGCGATGAAGAGAATGAATCCAAGCTGGAAAATACCAACAAAATGGGAAAAAAAATTTGCAGTTTACCCATCTGACAAAGGGCTGATATCCGAATTTACAAAGAACTAAAACAGATTTACAAGAAAAAAACAAACAAGCCCATTCAAAAGTGGGCAAAGGACATGAACAGACACTTTACAAAAGAAGACATACATGAGGCCAACAAACATATGAAATAATGCTCATCATCACTGGTCATCAGAGAAATGCAAATGAAAACAACATTGAGATACCATCTCACGCCAGTTAGAATGGCGATCATTAAAAAATCTGGAGACAACAGATGCTGGAGAGGATGTGGAGAAATAGGAACACTTTTACACTGTTGGTGGGAGTGTAAATTAGTTCAACCATTGTGGAAGACAGTGTGGCGATTCCTCAAGGACCTAGAAATAGAAATTCCATTTGACCCAGCAATCCCATTACTGGGTATATATCCAAAGGATTACAAATTGTTCTACTATAAGGACACGTGCAAACGAATGTTCATTGCAGCACTGTTTACAATAGCAAAGACCTGGAACCAACCCAAATGCCCATCGACGACGGACTGGATAGGGAAAATGTGGCACATATACATCATGGAATATTATGCAGCCATTAAAAACGATGAGTTTGTGTCCTTTGTAGGGACATGGATGAACCTGGAAACCATCATTCTCAGCAAACTGACAGAAGAGCAGAAGATCAAACACCGCATGTTCTCACTCATAGGCGGGTGTTGAACAATGAGAACACATGGACACAGGGAGGGGAGCACTACACACTGGGGTCAGTTGGGGGGAAATAGGGAAGGGACGGTGGGGGGTGGGGAGCTGGGGAGAGATAGCAAGGGGAGTGATGCCAGATGTAGGTGTTGGGGAGGAAGGCAGCAAATCACACTGCCACGTGTGTACCTATGCAACAATCTTGCATGTTCTTCACATGTACCCCCAAACCTAAAATGCAATAAAATAAATAAATGGGAAAAAAAAAAAAGAGGAAAAAAAAAAGATACAAAAAAAAAAACCAGAATCAGAGAAGACTTTGGTGATACAAACTCATCAGAGATCCACAGCTACAAATACATGCGTGCTTTAATCTAGATGAATCCAAGAACAAGTACCAAATATTCTATATGGAATTATTCTCAAGTAGAACTTCAGCTTTAGTTTATAAGGACTAAAATTTCTAGAATCAAGTTATTTCTACCAAGGTACACAATTTTTCACTTAATTTGTATAACAAACCTGCTTTAGTCTTCTTTTTTGTTTTTTTTGGTTTGGGTTTTGAATTATCTTCCATGCTGTCTTCTGCGTTTTGTTCCATTGAACTTATTTCACCATCTTGATGAGAATCTGAAGTAACTGGTCTAACTGGAGACTCCTTCTTTTGTTGACCTTCAACTGTGTCACCAGAGATGGTCAATGTACTACAAATTTAATCCAAATATCAGCCGTTACAGATATATTATCATAAGAATTATTATTATTCATGATGCAACAGAGTGAACAGTAAATAAAAGCAAAGATAATCCTAAAATCACTATTATTTTCTCTTAGGAGATGTATATATTTTCTTATACACTAAAATGGTTAGCTGTCAAATAAGTATCATAGGTAGTATTTTATACTTCATGAGGAGTTACATGATTCAACTAAAATTGAGCTCTAAAGCCCAGAGGAAAGGGAAATTGTATTAATATTTTATGAGCAATTGATCTCTTTACATAGGACTTATTGAAGCATGCCTACCCGCTGCCAAGTAAATGATGAATCAACAAATTTTTAAATTAACTTATTTAAAGGTATAAAAAGTATTCTAGGTTTGTTCTGTCTTCAAGAGGCTTCACATGCACAACTTTTGATTTCTCTTTTATAAGACATGGTCTTACTCTGTCACCCAAGCTGGAGCGCAGTGGTATAATCATAGCTCACTGCAGCCCCAATCTCCTAGGCTGCAGCAATCCTCCTACCTCTGCCTCCCAAATAGCTGGGACTACAGGCACATGCCACCATGCCTGGCTAATTTTTGTACTTTTTGTAGAGATGGAGTGTCACCATGTTGCTCAAGCTGGAATTTCTAGGTAAAAATTAATTCCTTGTATTTTCCAGTGATTGGTGAGTCACTAAATTTTCAGAAGACTATTACTAAAATTAAAGTCTATATCACATGAACTAGTAAATGGTAAAAAGTGGCAACCCAGAAGCATACTGACTTCAAAGAAAAACCAGCCTATTAATATTTTAATTGATCAAGTAAAAAATATGCATTTAAATAATAAAAAATTAACTTCCAATATTTTTAGTCATCTTTCAAAACAAATGGGTTGAGGACAATAAGAGTAGAGACATATTTCAAATTAGTCATTCCAGAAAGCCATTCTATTTGATCACATCACCAAACACTATTCTTTAAGAACAGCTACGCTTTGCATGCCACGGTCATGGGTTATTCAAAATTCATGAGCTAACCCTATTTCACATTGCCTGTGGCTTACCAGTCTACTACAGAGGAAGTAGCTATGAGAAAAAGAAAGATTTATAGTATACTGTGGTAGGCGGCCTTTAAGATGGACCTTACCGATCCCCACCTCTTCATATTCATGTCTTTGTGTAATCTTCTTTGAGTGTGGGCTGAGCCTAGTGACCTAATTCTAACAGACAGAATATGATAAAAGTAATGAATGTCACTTATAATATTAGGTTCCAAAAAGACTGTAACTTCTGTCTTGCTCTCACTCTCTCCGAGTCCTTGCTCTGGGAAGCAAATGGTCATGTTGTGAGTAGACCACATGGAGAAGTCCACATGGCAAGGAACCTGGCCCAAAGCCAGTCAGGACCTGAGGCCTACCAACAGCCACATGAATGAGCTTAGACCTGGATCCTCTAAGGTCTTCTAACAGCTATGTCATTGACAGATCCTTCCCAAGTCAAGGCCTGAGGTGATTTCAGTCCTGGCTAATATCCTGACTGTAACCTGTGATTGACAGAGACACCCAGCAAAGTCACTCCCAGATTGCTGGTCCATAGAAACTGTGAGACAATAAAAGCTTGTTGTCCTAAGCTGCTAAATTTTGGGATAATCTTTTTTTTTTTTTTGAGAAGGAGTCTTGCTCTGTCACCAGGCTGGATGGTAGTGGTGCGATCTCAGCTCACTGCAACCTCTGCCTCCTGGGTTCATGCAATTCTCCTGCCTCAGCCTCCTGAGTAGCTGGGACTACAGGTGTGTGCCACCATGCCCCGCTAATTTTTGTATTGTTGGTAGATATGTGGTTTCACCATGTTGGCCAGGATGGTTTCAATATCTTGACCTTGTGATTCGCCCGCCTCATCCTCCCAAAGTGCTGGGATTATAGGAATAATCTTTTTAATGGAGCAACAGATAACTAATATATACTATCATGTCCCTGCAGCAACCTGGTTTGCTATATCTTTGTTACTACTCGTCACCTAGCTTTTGAAAAGAGGGGAATTATTTTTAGCTGAGGGCTTTAGGGGAAATTGATCCAGAATGCCAAGGGACAGTCACATATAGAATTTTTCCACATCAAGTTGTTTCTGTAAAGGAGAACTGCAGGACAGAACAAAGTTAATTATAGCAGTTAAAAGGCATTTTTATTTTACTGTTTTCTCCAAGTAGAGAACATATAAATATGTATATGTTCATTTAAACTCACACCCTATATACAAGTACATACATATATAACCATCGTATAGAGAAAAAGATTAGAATACCAAATTGCCAATGGTGATTATCTTTAAATAGTTTTTGTACAATGAGCTACTGTTATTTGTATAAGAAAAAAATCTATTATTTATATACCCAAACAGGCATTTGTAACTCAAAAAAGGGGAGGTAATGAGGTTTCTATTACTTCAAAAGCAGATATAAGTGAGTAGTTCAGGGCAGAGACAAGGTTCTGGCTCAGCCTCTTACTAGTTCTGTACTTCAGTTTCCTCATCAGCAAAATACGATAAATACTACTTTTCCTCATAAGACTGTCATAAGAAATAAATAAGTTAATTCTTGTAAAGCATCTAGTACACAGTAAGGTGTTACGTAAAAGTTAGCAGTTATTATCTTAGTGGCAGTATTTCCAAATAAAAGCCTAAGAATTTTCTTAGTTAAATCACAAATAATATTCAAAACCTGAAAGTAATAGAGTGCTTTTCTAAGAGGATATTTTATATTTGTCAATGTAAAAATACCTTGTTTCAGCTTTAGGAACTTTCTTTTTTTTCTTTTTCCCTTTTTCACTGCTCAATTTGTCTTCATGGAATAAAGAATCTGAGGGAAAGTAACTCAACTGTTCTTTCAGTTTCTTTCTTATTTTCTTTTTAATCTCCTTTGCTATTTCTTCAGTTACATGGCATTGATATGCTTGCATCAGTGCTTCATCCTCTTCTAAATCATTCTTTTCTCTTTCCTCATTTGCCTTCTCACTTTTCTGATGACCAACACCTGGTTGTGGCTTTGTATGTGCTTTCTGGTATGTAGAATCAACCCTCTTCTCAGGAGTTTCTGGTTTCATGTCTTGTGTAGCCAACTGGGGCACCGTCTTTATCACCTTTTTATTTGGCTTTTCCTGTTTGTCTTCCTCTACACTAACATCACCATTAGGATTTTCAGTTGCTGACTGTGTATTCCTCAACTTGTTTTTAGTGACTCTCATGTTCTTCTTCAGGTTGTTAGTGTTAGTAGCACTTACATCATCACTTGTAGTTTCTTTAATATGGTGAAGATTGCTTTTAATAGTGTCAGGCTAACAAAAGAAGACACAATAACAAAGTTTCAGCTATGCATTGATTAGTTATACAAAGAAAAACCCACTTATTAATGTTAGGCAATGTGGAATTATTGGGAGGATTGTTTTTTTTTTTTTTTTAACCTGGACATAGTGATACTATTTTAGAGCATTTGATGAGTACTCTCACAATTTGTGCTTCCAGAATTTGAATAGTAATCTCTGAATCTAACTTCAGATTAAATGAGTTAATTGACATGGGAAAAAAAGTACTTAAAGGCCTTTAGGGTGTGAATTAATTCCTCAAATCTCAAATGCTATTTTCCTCATACATATTTTCCTTGTGATCTACACTCTAATGTAATTAATAGGTATTTAGGAAATTGCTAAAAAAGCCATTGAATGTGACATTTCAGGTTACCCAATAGGAAATATACATGGGTCACTGACGTTGCTTCATAATTCACTCTAAAACCAAAAGTCTGCAGCTCTAAGATCACCCTGCAGTTAATCCAAGTATATTACTAAAAGGCTGCTAAATATTACATATTAAGTTAAATCAAATGATAGACTAAGCACAATCATGTACCTCTTTCCCCAATTAAAATTATTTAAAATGAGATATATTTTTAATAGAAAAAAATCAGTAAGAGTCAGAGTCAAGTAATATAAGGAGGAGGAGGGGATAAGCCAGAGGATGACCAATCGAGGAGCTGGGATGAACAGCTGTTTCCCACCACCATTTGTGTTGACTTTCACCCATGGGATTACGCGGATGAGCACAGAGAGAAAGGGCAGTATGCTTCAGGTAGGTACAATTCCCATAAACTACAGAGGCAGTCTATGTTAAAAACAACCAACAATCAAGGGAAGAGAGTGTCTCAAATATAAAGATGACTTGAGAACTGAAAATTAACAAACACTAAAGGAAGGTAGCACAACGAAGGAAAGCTATCAAATCAAATGCAGTAAATAAAAGAACACCAAAGGAAAATAAATATCAAAAATAATAATTTAACATAAGCATAATTAAGAAATTCAAAAGCATACTGGACCAAGAAAACCAAACTGCTGATATTAAAATAAAATTCTGAATCATATATAAGTTTAAAAGATGTGTTGAAAAACAGAATGCACAAAAACCATTGCTGTGTATTCCTCAGTTTGTTTTTAATGACTCTCATGCTGTTGTTCAGGTTAGTGTAGGCAGTACTTACATCACCACTTGTAGTTTCTTTAATATAGTGAAGATTGCTTCTAATAGTGCCAGGCTAAAAAAAAGAAGACATAATAACAAAGTTTCAGCTAAGCATAGATTAGTTACATAAAGAAAAGCCCACTAACTAATGTTCTACAATGTGAAATTCTTGGGAAGATTATTTTTTTACCTGGATACAGTGATACTATTTTAGAGTATTTGATGGGTACTGTCATAATTTGTGCTTCCATAATTTCATTAATAATCTCTGAATGTAACTTCAGATTAACATTTTGGATTAACACTTTGCATTCATTTTGTAGTGCAGAATGTTACATGTAATGTATGGCTGTTACATGTTAACATTTGATGCTACAAGATGAACCTAAAATCAAAATGAAAAAATGTGCCAGAAATGAATAAACTTACCAAAACATACTGGAGTTTGATTTTTGAAACTCCCCATATTTTAAAAGTAGTTAGAAAGCATCCAATGTATATGGAAAGGTGATTTTAAAAACGCTGAAAGAGCTAGTATCCCAATACATATCTAAGATCTGACCATCTCTAAGACTCTTTTGTTCACCTAAAACATACTTCCAAATTCTACCTGTTCTTTGAGGGTAAATTTTGATGCCATGTCCTCCAAAAAAATCTTCACCAATCAAATCTAATAAAAATAACCTTTCCCTTTAAAAAAACCACATGTTCTGTTTTAGAAGCAATATTTAATTTAAAACGGAAGAAAGAAAGAAGGAAAGAAAGAAAGAGGGAAAGAAAGAGCAGGAAGGAAGGAAGGAAGGAAAGAAGGGAGGGAAGGCAGGGAGGAAGGGAGGAAGGGAGGAAGAGGGGAAGAAACCCAGAATATTAAAAAAAAAAAAAAAAACCATAAAACAAAAAACCAAACCCCAAAGCTAGCAGAAGACAAGAAATAACCAAGATCAGAGCAGAAATGAAAGATATAGAGATACAAAAAACCCTTCAAAAAATCAATGAGGCTGGGCATGGTAGCTCACGCCACTTGGGAGGCCAAGGTGGGCAGATCACTTGAGGTCAGGAGTTCGATAACAGCCTGGCCAGTAAGGTGAAAGCCCATCTCTACTGAAATGCAAAAATTAGCCAGGCATGATGGTGCATACCTGTAATCCCAGCTACTCGAGAGGCTGAGACACAAGGATCACTTAAGAATCAGACACAAAAATGATAAAGGAGGTATCCCCACTGACCCCACAGAAATGCAGATACCCATCAGGAATACTATAAAAACCTCTATGCAAATAGACTAGAAAATCTAGAAGAAAGATAAATTTCTGGACACATACACCCTCCCAAGACTGAACCAGAAAGAAGTTGAATCCTTGAATAGACTAATAACAAGTTCTGAAATTGAGGCAGTAATACATAGCCTACAAACCAAATTAAAAAAAAAAAAAAAAAAAAGCCCAGGACCAGATGGATTTACAGCTGAATTCTACCACAGGTTCAAAATGGAGCTGGTACTATTTCTACTGAAACTATTCCAAACAATTGAAAAAGAGGGACTTCTTCCTAACTCATTTTATGAGGCCAGCATTATCCTGATATCAAAACCTGGCAGAGTCACAACAAAGAAAGAAAAGTCCAGGCCAATATCTCTGCTGAACATTGATGCAAAAATCCTCAATAAAATACTGGCAACCAAATCGAGCAGCAAATCAAAAAGCTTATCCACCACCACCAAGTTGGCTTCATCCCCAGGATGCAAGGCTGGTTCAACATATGCAAGTCAATAAACATCATTCATCACATAAACAGAACTAAACACAAAAAACACATGATTATCTCAATAGACACAGGAAAGGCCTTCGATAAAATTCAACATTGCTTCATGTTAAAAACTCTCAATAAAGAAGGTACTGACGGAACATACCTCAAAATAAAAGCCATTGATGACAAACCCACAGCCATACCGTCCAAAGTAATTTATAGATCCAATGCTATTCTTATTAAACTACCACTGACATTCTTTACAGAATTAGAAAAAACTACTTATGAAACCATAAAAAAGAGCTTGTATAGCCAAGACAATCCCAAGAAAAAAAAACAAAGCTGGAGGCATCACACTATCTGACTTCAAACCATACTACAGTAAACAAAACAGCATGGTACAGGTAAAAAAACAGACATATAGACCAACAGAACAGAAATACGATCTCAGAAATAAGACTACACATCAACCATCTTATATTTGACAAACCTGACAAAAACATGCAATAGGGAAAGGATTCCCTATTTAATAAATGATGCTAGGAAAACTGGTTAGCCATATGTGGAAAATTGAAACTGGACCCCTTCTTTACTTACACTTTATACAAAAATTAACTTAAGGCAGATTAAACACTTAAATGTAAAACCCAAAACTATAAAAACCCTAGAGGAAAATCTAGGCAATACCATTTAGGACATAGGCACAGGTAAAGATTTCATGACAAAAATGTCAACAGAAATCGCAATAAAAGTAAAAATTGACATTTATGTGGCCAACGAACATATGAAAAAAAGGACCACATCACTGATCATTACAGAAATGCAAATCAAAACGCCAGTGAAATACCATCTCACACCAGTCAGAACGGCCATTATTAAAAAGTCAAGAAACAACAGATGCTGGTGAGGCTGTGGAGAAATAGGAATGCTTTTACACTGTTGGTGGGAATGTAAATTAGTTCAACCATTGTGGAAGACACTGTGACAATTCCTCAGAGATCTAGAACCAGCAATCCCATTTGACCCAGGAATCTCATTACTGGGTATATACTCAAAGGAATATAAAAGGGATACAAATCATTCTATTGTAAAGGTACATGAATGCGGATATTCACTGTAGCACTATTCACAATAGCAAAGACATGGAATCAACCCAAATGCCCACTGATGATAAACTGGATAAAGAAAATGTGGCATATATACACCAAGGAATACTAGGCAGCCATAAAAAGTAACAAGATCATGTCCTTTGCAGGGACATGGATGACAATGGAAGCCATCATCCTCAGCAAACTCACTCAGGAATAGAAAACCGAACACTGCATGTTCTCACTTATAAGTGGGAGCTGAACAGTGAGAACACATGGACACAGAGAGAGGAACAACAAATACTGGGGTCTGTCAGGGAGGTCAGGGGAGGGATAGCATCAGGATAAACAGCTAATCGATGGGGCTTAATACCTAGGTGATGGATTGATAGGTGCAGCAAACCACCATGGCACACGTTTAGTTATGTAACAAACCTGCAAGTCTTGTACATGTACCCCAGAACTTAAAATATTTTAAAATTGTTATTTTTTTCAGAATCTTCTGTTTTCTTTCTATGAATTTATCTATACCTCAATAACCTTGAATTTCCATTATGTTAAAATGGGGCACATGTAAATTTTTCTTTCTACTTTTTCAGCGAGTACCAATAATGTAGCACCAATATACATAAATTGTGAGAATACCCCTGGAGAAAATAATTAGCAAAAGAGCTAACCAAGATTTAGAAATATAAGAAATATTTATGGTCTCAAGAAAAAAATTTTAAAATTGAAACTCCAGGCAAGCTAATTGGAAAAGGCCCAGTTTTTGGTTTATTTACTGTTGATCTGTCAGCCTTTGTACTAACAACATTAATTTTATGACTTCATATTTATTAATTTCTCTTTTCCTTTCTGTTTTTTAAATATTGCAGTGAATAAAGTTCCCAGAGTATCTTAGTAGCATCTCTACATTTCATAGGATTATATTGACATTTTTATTACTTTTTAAATAGGCTGTTTTGTGGTTTTGATTTCCTTTGCCCCTCTAACAGCTGTACGGGATAAATTCCATAGTTTGTAAATTATAATCTTTTGTTAACTTCTAGTTGTACTGTACTAGCATTTAAATAAAGAGTCTCTTTGTGGAATTTAACAGTATCATAGATCAAATTATGTTTGAATTCTGAAACGCCCCAAATACATTTGTTCATCTTCCTATTGTATCTTTGCCCATCTTTTACCTCTTTAAACCATTCAAGTTTTTTTGCTTTGGTTTGTCTGCTATTAAAATTAGCTTTATTAAGCTATAGCTTACATACAATAAAACCCACCAATTTTAAGTGTATAATTAAATATATTTTGGCAAATGTATACAGCCATGTGACCACAACCATAATCATGACATTAATCATTTCCATCATTCTACATGTCCTTTTACAGAGTCAATGCCTTCCCTTCATCCCCTACCCGACTCAACCACTTATCTGGTATCACAATAGCTTTGCCTTGTTTAGACTTTCACATAAATGAAATTATACCTCTATAGCCTTTTGTATCTGGCTTCCTTCATTCAGCACAAAGCTTTTTGGATTCATCCACGTTGCTATATTTACAGCAGTTTATTCCTTTTTTTTGTGGAATAGTATTCCATTGTATAGTTATATGCCATATTTTGTTTCTCCATATACCAATTAATAGATATAAATTTAAAAAAATAGATGTAAATTATTTCCAGTTTTGTGCTAGTATTAGATATGTTTTCACTTGTCTTGTGTAAATACCCACAAATGGAATTGATGTGCTATATGGTAAGGAGATATTTAACTTATTAAATAATTGCCATACAGCTTTTCAAACTGGCTGTACTACTTTGTATTTCTATCAGCAATTTCTAAGAGTTCCAGTTACTTGATATCCTTGTCTGCAGTTAATATTGTCAATTTTTGTTTTGCAGCTGTTGTAATAGGTGTGCAATGGTACCTCAGAATTGTTTTAAACTGCATTTTCCTAATTACTATGACAACAAGAATCTTTACATGTCTTTATTTGCTATCTATAGCTCTTCTTTGGTTAAGTGTCCAAATCTTTTGCTCATTTTTATTAGGTTGTTTTCATATCAGTGAGCTGATATGAAAATATTCTAGATACATCTTATCAGATAGTGCTTTAAGAGTACTTTATTCAAATCTATAGCTATAAAACATTTTCATTTTCATAGCAATGTTTTCAATGTTCACAAAGTCCAATTTAGCCCTTTTTTCTTTCATGGTTCATGCTTGTGTATCCTGAGAAATCT